CGCCGGTAGCCACTGGTATTGAAGAGGTGAAGTTAGGAGAATTACTTGAGCCAAAGAGCTTGAGGCTGTTCTGAGCAACATAATCTTCCATTTCAGAAAAAGGTTTTTAGTATGCAATTAGCATTTCAAAAATAAAGCATCACTAAGTATAAATGCAGTTTCTCTTATGTCTCAGCTTATGTTTAGAGAAACATAAATAGAAATAGTCAGATATTGATTAAAAGGATCAATGTTTAGAATCCTATTTTCAGACATCCCATTGGCCGGTAACTTTTTTCAGTGATTTTTCTCCTATTCAGACACTAAATGAGTTTGTACTACGTATTTAATGTCCTTCACACACTGTATGTCCTTTCATTCTGTGGTCACTTACTTCCTAACCTTCCCTACCTTTTCTATTATAGTCCCGGAAAAACCTTGTTATCTCCACATACTCAACCTCCACCTGAGAGTACCTGCCTTACTAGTAGCTGGAGAATGCTTTGCATCTTCCTGAATATTTATCCCAAACATCTCCTATACTTTCTCCTTCATGTTTAGATCATTTGTCTTTTTCTAATGGCAATTGACAGAAGAGAGCCTTCAATGATTAAACCTTTGTATCTGCAACTATACCATATGCTCTGTTGTTTCTCTTACTATGGCTCCCCCTGTGGCTGGTCCTGGTACTCAGCTGTAAATTCACTCCCTCTACATACACCTACTTCACAACTGCTCTTCAGATATTCAGATACTGCTTCTCACCTTCGTTTTCCCCCTTTCATTATGTAATACTTACTATTATACTGATTTATTGTGAAAGCCCTCCTCTTTTATAAACCCTTTTGTCTGTGTAGGTTTCCAGAGAAACAGGACCATTAGAGAAACGCTTAAAAACAAACCTCCCTTTCCTCCTCTCTCTTTCCCACTCCTTCTTTGGCCTCTCCTCTTATTTTAGCAACTTGAATTAACACAACTGTAAAATGTGGCAAACTTAATCTGAAAGGCAAGCCAGCAAGCTAGAAACTCAGGCAGGAGTTTTTGCAGCTTTGACTCTAACGTCTGCATGACATTCCCAAATGAGAAAGTTCTAATATTTTATTCTGCAGTCTTCAGATTTTTTTCCTCTGAAAAATGTGCTTTCCCCTTAATCCTTCGTGGGTGAGTTCTACGCACGTTGCTGGAGGAACAGCCTTCCCTTTCTTCAAGTCAGCTGTCTTTTGTTTTGTTTTGTTTTTGGTTCAAGACTGGTGGTACCAGATACTTTTGCACCGTACCACTTGAGCCACGCCTCCAGCCCCAAGTCGTCTGATTTTATATGTTAATCATATGTTTAGAATACTTTGAAAAGTGCCTGGTGCCTGTGGCTCAGTCCTGCCATCCTAGCTACTCAGGAGACTGAGATCTGAGAATTGCAGTTTGAAGCCTGCCTGGCTAGAAAAGTCTGTGATACTCTTATCTCCAATAAATTACTCAGGAAAAGCACTCTGGCTCAAGTAGTAGAGTGCTAGCCTTTAGAAAAATAATCTCAAGGACAGTACCCAGGCCCCGAGTTCAAGCCCCAAGAATGGCATTATTAAAAAACAAAACAGGGGCTGGGAAGGTGGCTCAGTGGTAGAGCGCTTGCCTTGCATGCCTGAGGCCCTGGGTTCGATTCCTCAGCATCACATAAGCAAAAAGAAAAAAGCCGGAAGTGGCGCTATGGCTCAAGAGGTAGAGTGCTAGCCTTGAGCTGAAGAGCTGAGGGACAGCGCCCAGGTCCAGAGTTCAGGCCCCACGACCGGACCAAAAACAAAAAACAAAAAAACAAAAAAAAACAGACCTTGACTGTAATGCCTGGATTGCTGTTTGATTAAAATAACTGGTTATGATATCGTAGCTAACTCATCACTTCTGAGATGAAGTAGCAGCCTTCCTTTGATTCCTCATGCTCCACAAGCTGTGATCACACCACTGTCTTTCTCTTCAAACAGAAATCTCAAAAGGTTTGTTTATATTGTCTCCCCTCTCTTCCTTCTAACTCTCCTTGAAGCTCCTCAATTGTCTCTTACCTCCCTGCTTCTGATGTGCATGCAGCAGGCTTATGGCCTAAATTAGTTGGCAGCTTCCATTTTCATCGTTCTCTTTCTTGAAAGACATAGCTGCTTCTTCTTTCTTGGAACTTTATCTTTGCTTCTTTCTGGAAACAAGTCCTGGTGGATTATAGCCAAATTGTAAATATTGAATTATCTTGACAAATCTTCAGATCTTTCCTTTTTTTTTCTTTTCACATGGTCTTTACCAAGGAAGTAAAATCCAGGTCTGTGGTTTTATAATTTTATGAAAAGAAAATGAGAAAGTGGAACTGTGGCTCAAGTTGTAGAGCACTAGTCTTGAGCAAAAAGGCTCAGGAACAGCCCTCAGGCCCTGAGTTCAAGCCCTAAGACTGCCACAAAGAAAAGAAGAAAGGAGTTTGACATAGGTGACAATAGTAACATGACTTCATATTCATTATGTGAGTCATTACGTGGTGAAATACCTCTTTTCTATCCCTGGCTCTTAGCCACCAAATTCTCATCCCTGTGTACTACCCAACTTGTGACTTCCCTTGAAGACACTTTATATATGACCTGTCTTCAGCAAGGAGTTGCTTTCAACTTTTTATGGTAATGAACTTACAGAAAACTTCTTGTTATCAACACCTATTTGCAAACTGCATTCTGAGCGGCGTTGTACTCAGACATCATCGATGTCTGATGTCAAGATGTAGCTGACAGATGAAATGTAAACGTCCAAGTATTCACCTGGACAGAAGGAAAACACTTCAGAAGCCATGTCACATATAAAGGCTGAATTAGTCAAGTCAAATTTTATAAGTACTCTGTACAGAAGTCAGTCCCTTTCAGTGGACTCAAAACATAATTCCCATTTCTCACCTAAAATGAAAGTTGATCCATAATACCTAGAGAGCAAGGTTTTAGCTGAAAAATTCCTGGAAATTTATAGAGCATTTTACATTTGTATTAGTTTTAGTATATTGATCATGTATCCTGACTGGGAAAAGAGGCTTGTTCCATAAGGACAGTTGGCATTTGAGATACAACAGGACATGTGGCTGAAAGCAGCCTTCACTAGATTCAGAAAAAGCCATCTGGCTTATCTTCCAGTGGTGAATTCCAGCCACTACTGATGTTAATTATAATGTTTTCCAACGCTATCTTTCAAGTCATTTTGCTTTTGAGATTGAGTTTAGACTGAACTACACAGTACTAGGTATCACTCTGTGTATGCAAACAAGCTCTGATATACTGCTGCCCTCCCTAGGGCAGTTTGGGAGCTAGTCTCCTTTCTTCTACAAATTATTATGTAATCAAATATTCAAATACTGACAAAACATGTATTGTTATATTTTAAAACACTATTTCTGAATGTAACTTTTGGTTACTGTATTCCAAGGAAAACTTTTCTATTAAATGTATTTCTATATGTTTACTAATTTAAATACATTTTTTTCAGGATTATATATTGTCATATATTATTTTAAGGGTCACAGAAATCACTGTTAAAATGGAGCTGGCCAAAATGTAGGTGGGGCTTCAGAATACCAATGTGTATGTGTGTGGGGGTGGGTAGGTAGGTAAACAAATCACTGTGTGCCTTATATAGATAATTAAAGGGAAATAGTAAAGTGTATAATTAAAGGGAAATAGTGAAAAATGCATGTTTTTGTCTATATACATGCTTGCAGTTAGCTTAGTCAGTTTTTCAGAAGCACTGAACAGTATTTCGTGGGGTTTTGTTCTTTGTTGGGCATGTCCTTGGGGCCTGGGCACTGTCTCTGAGCGTTTTCATTCAAGGCTAGTGCTGTACCACTTTGAGCCACAGCGCCATTTCTGGTTTTCTGGTGGTTAATTGGCGATAAAAACCTCACACTTTTCTTTTTGGAACTGGCTTTGATCAGATCTCAGATTTCAGCCTCTTGAGTAGCTAGGATGACAGATGTGAGCCACCAGCACCTAGATCAGATGAACAGTATTTTGTCATAATTGAACATTGATATTTTTATATGAATAAGCCTGGAAAGGGGTAATTATTTACCAGCATAAAACCTTTTTATTTCTTTACCAATATTCCCCATACTCTATCTCAATAATGAAAATAAATATGAAAAAAAGTTTGAGGCTTGTACATTCTTTTTGTTTAAATGATGTAAACAGAAAAATAAGAGAAGGAAAAAGTGAGAGAAGGAGTGGCATTGTCCAAAAATAAATTTACCCATGAAAGTGGTGCTGTGGCTCAAAGTGGCAGAACATTAGCCCTGAGTGAAAGAGCTCAGGGACTATGTCCAGGCACTGAGTTCAAGCCCCACTACCAGAAAAAGAAAGAAAGAAAGAAATGTACTCCTTACCTGATTTACATAACTGTAATAGCTTTGTATATAATCTTTATAATAAAAATTTTTAAAGGGAAAATAGAATTTACGCATGAACATTTAAAATATGTGAATGCCTGCTAGAGAATATATAAATAAATAAGTCTTGGAAATTCACAGAATATATTTTGATGAACATAATGAATTTTAGGGCCAGTGTACTTTACAGGAATTAGAAATTTACAGTTCATTCAAGTGAGAGGACTGTCTTTTGAGGGCAAAGATAAAGAATTGACTGTAAATAGGGCACCTGTGATTCTTCTCAGTAAATGCATTTGGGAGCATTTGTGGACACAGATTTGGTGGCCAGGTAGATGAGGCTTGGCGAGTCTGCCCTCACTAAAGAGTGTTTTTGAGGAGTGAAGAAAGGCATTGTTGAAGATGCTACTTAAAAATCTTTCCTAATAGTACTTAAGATGAGGCTGTTTTTAAGTGGGAAAGTGGAGAGTAAGAGGATACATTTATATATTGTCATTTAAAACTTTAAAATTATCCCTGCATTATAAAAGAAATAGTCCCCCCCCTTCATCCATTTGCTTTGTGAATTTATGATCTCACAGACAATGATTTGTTTCAGAGATAAATGTTAAGGTATCCCTTTATTTTGTAGCCATGAAGCTCATGACTGCTCTGGTGAACGTTGCCTTAAACCTCAGTATTCATCAGGATAATACCCAGAGACAGTACGAGGCTGAGAGAAATAAAATGATTGGGAAGAGAGCCAATGAAAGGTTGGAATTACTACTTCAGAAACGCAAAGAGGTAAGTAACTGATGGACTTCCAATTTGTAAATGTGTAAGAAATACACTTTGTTTTCCCTGTTAAAAATGTTTTAAATTTTCTTAACATATTTTAAATTAGATTATTTCATCTATCTCAGCCCCTTTTTCCTTTTATGCTACAAATCCAACTGAAAGTCTCATACATTTACCACCAAGCTACACACTGAGGTCTTGTTTGCAGTTTTACAACAAAATTTTCATGTGTGTGTTCAAAGTGCATTTAAGCTGGGCGTCGGTGGCTCACACCTATAATCCTAGCTACTGAGGATCGTGGTTCCAAGCCAGCCTGGGCAGGAAAGTCCATGAGACTCTCTATCTCCAATGAACCACTAGAAAACTGGAAGTGGTGCTGTGGCTCAAATGGTAGAGCACTGGCCTTGAGCTGAAGAGCTGAGGGACAGCGCCCAGGCCCAGAGTTCAAGCCCTACGACCAACCCAAAAAAAAAAAAAAAAAGAGTGAATTTAAACTGAGTCCTTTCGTAGGAGACATTGTTAATTTTTGGCCAGGGATGAGCTGTACTAGTTTCTGAATTTAGAATTTGCATTTGCCTGGCAGGCATTCTGCTTGAGCCAAGCCTCTGATCCAATAGGAAACATTTTTATTGATCTAATTGTGGAAAAATATTTTACTTTGTCGTATTATTTTACCTTTTAGTTGAAAAAAGAGTATCTCATTGCAGAGCGACTGCATACATGTATCCAAAAAACTTACATTAAATCATTAGCTATATTATGTTAGTTCGATAAGACTATTGTATCCAAGGGCCACGTGGAGTTGGCTTCAAGGAAAGAAATGTATTGTCTCACTCTGTGGAGGTGTGCTAGTCAGAATTTTCATCTTTGTGACAAAAGCCTGAGACAGGCAACTAAAGGCACAGTTACTTTCTCTTAATACATTGGTTTCAGAGTTTTAGTCCAAGCTCTGCTGTATGCATTGCTTGGGCTCAGGGGTGATGCTGAAGAGCATGCTGGCAGGAACATATGGCCAGACTGCAAGCGTTTCACATCTTTCAGCTCTACTTTCCAGTCCTGACTCTCACTGCAAAAGCTAGGGAAAAGAAGCCAGCAATAATCAGGCAACAGTCTGAATTCTGGGCTGACTTGAAAATTCCTCCTATGGATTCATCAGCCACCTTTAAATTCCACTTCCCACCTTTGCCAGAATGTCACACAAGGTACCTCCAGTTCAGTTACCACCTGAAACCTACAAGGTGATAGTGAAAGAAAATGTATCACTGAATATTATTACACAGGAATCACAGGAAAAATTAGAAAAAGAAATCAAGCATTGAAGGTCATTTCGTCTCAGTGATTTTATGGCTATAAACTCAGTTCTAACTATCAGCAACATTGCCTGAATTTTCATCTCCATAATAGTATTTTATGTTTTTGCTGCGTTCTACCACTAGTGACCAGAGTCCACTCTGTTGTCTCTTACGCTTGCACTTTGGGAAGTTGACTACTTTTAATTATAGGTTACTTAAATGCAGCATAATGTTTACATCCTTTAGGTACAGGAGGAAGTTGCTTGTACAGTGACAAAACATCCAATCAAAGATATGTCCCTTAATCATCAAAGACAGAAATCATACCCTGAGCTCCTGGTTCAGAGAGCTGTCTAGAATTCAGACATATTCCCAAAAGTGGATGATACTTTGAAGATGAAAGCCTGACCAAACTCAGCTACAAAATTCTTCCTTCTTAATCACTGTGTAGTTCGTGTCTAGAAAGTAATTGGTAGCAGAGAATAAAAATTTCTCAAACCACTGGGGTATAGCTGTAGAAATAATGAAATATAATCTCAAACATCATTGCACAATGAGCAAAAGAAAGGATACTCACCAGAATGAGAAGGGTTGGGAGTTTAAAACTAACTGTTCATTACAAATAAAATAGTATTCCCATTAATATTTTTATTGGTTTCTTTCGTTTCAGCTACAAGAGAATCAGGATGAAATTGAAAATATGATGAACTCTATTTTTAAGGGTATATTTGTTCATAGATACCGGTAAGGATTTTTTTTTAATTATTTACAAGTTCTGTAACTTTAAAAAAAATACTTTTTTTTTTAGTCTAATCTATACACTTGAATTTCTAGTGATTCAGTATGAATTAATGAAGTCATTAAATTATTGTGACCTTAGATAAAACTTTCACACTTGAAAATATTAAATGTCTTTCTTTTTGTCCTGTGGCCCTGTCTTGTTCCATGATCAACTGATACCATTTAAATATTTTGATAGGGGCTGGGAAGGTGGCTCAATGGTAGAGCGTTTGCCTTGCATGCCTGAGGCCCTCGGTTTGATTCCTCAGCACCACATAAGCAAAAAAAAAAAAAAGCCGGAAGTGGTGCTGTGGCTCAAGTGGTAGAGTGCTAGCCTTGAGCTGAGGAGCTGAGGGACAGCACCCAGGCCCAGAGTTCAGGCCCCACGACCAGACCCCCCCCAAAAAAAAAAAAATTAAAATATTTTGATAATAAAGAAAGGGTAGTGAAGGTTGGCCCTGCAAGTAAGTCTGTAACGAAAGATGGCACACAGCAGTGTGGTCACTTGTTTGTTTTCACCTGGGATCCTGAGAGCACTAACTGTTGAACAATTTTTCCTCGTGTTCCATTGCAAATGGTTTAGTGTGTCTCTTGTCAGGAAATTTTTTTTAATGTGATAAATTTTAAAAGGAACATTTAGAAAGGCAATTGTGGCTCACAACTGTAATCTTAGCTACTTAGGAAACTAAGATCTGAGGATCGTCGTATGAATCCAGTCTAGACAGGAAAGTCCATGAGACTCTTTATTTCCAGTTCACTACCAAAAAAGCCAGAAGTGGAGCTGTGGCTCAAGTGATAGAGCACTAGTCTTGAACATAAGAAGCTCAGGGACAGTGCCCAGGCCCCTGCGTTCAAGTCCCAGGACCAGCACCAAAAATAAGTAAATAAATAAATAAATAATCATGTGTGTATATATGTATTTATATAAGTTGTGTAAATTATAAGTAAATACACTTAGCTAACACAAGCCTAGTTTTTAGTTACTTTTGAGAGTACAGTTAATAAGTTAAGGAGATTGTTAAAGCAGGGAAATAAATTTTGTCTATGGTAATGTATATACACAAATAATTTTGATATTTTAAAAGAACATTTTAATTCAGAGTATGAAAAGATGTTTTGAAACATGTCAAGAACATTGAATAGAGATTATTGGAGTTCTTTGTCTTCTTTCTTACACAAACTATTCTTCTAATCCATTAATGCATTATTGACGTATATTTGGCAGAAAGAACGTAAGTATACCTGCACTGCAGTATTTATGAGGGCCAGTCAGATAATTTGATTGTGAGTGTGTGTGTGTGTATTTAAACCACCATCATGAATATACTCATCATCTTTAAAAACTATTTTTCCAGTACTCAGTAATTCTTCCCTTTCTGTCACTCTCACCTCCTTTGGTCCCTTTTTACTAAGACAGAATTTTACTCCTTTTATCAGTTTCTCCGAGAGCACTGCTTTAACTACTCCCTACCCTCCGTCATTTTACATGCTGTGTTCCCTGAAATGCCCTCCTCAGTGCACGTTAATCATCTTTCTGTAAGCAATCTCTGAGCTCTCAGATTCTTATTTGTGGACTAATAAAGAACACAGTATGATGTTCAGTGATTCCTTGAGTTGTTCATTTTCTCCTTTGTCTGTTTTATTTCCCTCAAAAAAAAAATGTTCTCTGTAGATAGACTCTTGGAAAATCTATTTTGTTTCCAGCCAAATCTTGCCAACAGAATTGGTTGAAATGTGAATTCATCTTAAAGTGCTGCAGTTCAGATTTTTGGCATCTGTAATTACTTCTTACTCCAGAGCTCTAGTGAGATTCCTGGTGCATGAGCAATAACAGGGCCAGTACCTACCCACATATTATCAAGCGTGTTTCTCCGCATTTATGTTGGCAGTCATTTAATTTATATTGTATCCTTTGTTAGGAGCATCACATTCTTGCCTCCATCCAGGCAATAAAAAACATGGAATTAAAATTCACCAGAGTTAAATTTCCCTTTTCTATAAGCAAAAAAAAAAAAAAAAGTGATTGTTAAAGAATGTAATCCAAATTTCCCATTTCTGTTTTCAGTGTTCATTTCAAGGCCCTTGTACTAAAATGGTATGCAAAATTAATCTGTCTTATGAATGTCTTTAATACCTTTCTTCTTGACTTAATGGCTCCCCCCCCCCCCCCCACCTCATTGTTTATCTTTATTTGGGGAGTTTTAAAATGCTTTTTCTAGACATTACTCTCCTTCCTTCCTTCCTTCCTTCCTTCCTTCCTTCCATCTTCTCTTTTCTTTTCTTCTTTGTCAGTCGTGGGGCTTAAACTCTGGGCCTGAGCACTGTCCCTCAGCTCTTCAGCTCAAGGCTAGCACTCTACCACTTGAGCTTCAGCGCCACTTCCAGTTTTCTGATGGCTTATTGGAGATAAGAGTTTCATGGACTTTCTTGTCGGGGCTGGCTTTGAACCACGATCCTCAGATCTCAGCCTCCTGAGTAGCTAGGATGACAGGTGTGAGCCACCGGCGCCCGGCTCTTTTTTTTTTTTTTTTGTCAGTCCTGAGGTTTGAACTCTGGGCCTGGGCACTGTCCCTCAACTCCTTTTGCTCAAGGCTAGCACTGTACACTTAAGCCACAGCGCCACTTCCACTTTCTTCTGTGATTTAGAGATAAGAGTCTCACAGACTTTTCCTGCTCAGGCTGGCTTCAAACCATGATCCGAAGATCTCAGCCTCTTGAGTAACGATTACAAGTGTGAGCTGACAGCCCATTTTAAATGGGATGAGGCAGTTGGGAAATGTAAATGAATTAAAAAAACCAGTCACGTATCAGAAAATACCTTTGTATGAAAACATGCTGTTTATCAGAGAATATGTGGAAACACATCCATTTAAATCTGTTAGTTCCTTGAGAGCAAAAAAGCAATGTTTAGTAGTAGAAAAATCATGGAGAAGCTAAAACTTTACTGGAAGCCAGAAGAACAATCTGGTGTGGGTGACCGGAATACAATGGAGATGATTTTAAGCATGAGGATGACCATGTCCATGCTGCCACGGTGGAGCCGAATTTATGGAGCAGACGAGACAGTTTGTCATCAGATTGATAAGGATTCTTTTTTTTTTTTTTTTTTTTTTGTCGGTCGTGGGGCTTGAACTCTGGGCCTGGGCGCTGTCCTTCAGCTCTTCAGCTCAAGGCGAGCGCTCTACCACTTGAGCTACAGCGCCACTTCCGGTTTTCTGGTGGTTTATTGGAGATAGGAGTCTCATGGTCTCTCCTGCCCGGGCTGGCTTTGAACCGTGATCCTCAGATCTCAGCCTCCTGAGTAGCTAGGATTACAGGCGTGAGCCACCAGCGCCCGGCTGATAAGGATTCTTAATAGTACTAAAATTAGTATTAGGATGTTTTTGTCCCTCTCCTTTTGTCCCCCCCCTAAACTTGGTAGTGTTAAAGCATCAGTTACTATGTCATAATTTCTTTGGGCCAGGAACATTCTTCTGTCCATTCAGAAAGTTAGAAAAAAGTTTATAAAATGTTTCGTCATAAAGAAATGATAAATATTTGAGGAAATAAACATATTTAACCCAATTTAAATATTATGTATTGCATACGTATATTGAAACATCACATTTGACCTTATTAATACGATACATTTTATGCTTAAGTGTCAGTGAAACTGAAGATTGTAATCTGCACTATTGTTTGGGAAGAGCATTTCCTCCATTTTTATCCTTAGGCAATGACATGAGCCTAGAATGGAGATTTATTAAAACAAGGAATGAAATATGAGTTCTCACACTTACTTTGTCAAGAGAGAAAGACAAGGAAGAAATCCCTTAATAGTAAGAAGTGGCAGATTGCCTTGTATAATTTAGAGAATTTTGAAATATTTTAATATTTTAGATATACTTGTTAAATCAGAAGTCTTGAAGATTAATTTCAAAAATAATTTAAGATTCACCCTATCTTTCGTAATCCTTCTTTTCAAGCTAGGCATAACAGCCTGGGTTAGGTGAGATAAAAGTGTTAGCAGCTGCATTTGTTTACAATTCATAAATGAACTGAGGAGTAGGAAAACCATCCTAAGAGTATTACATTGGATACCTACAAGGAGATGAAGGGCCATCTAGACAGCAAGCTAGAATCCTGACATCGAGAATTGTTTTGCCCCTGCACTGCTACATAGGCACAAAGACAATTCCTCTTCTAAGTGACTGGATCATTATTCTCCATTCCTTGGCTTTAAAAAAATACTTAATTAAAGACGAAGGGCCTGTGGCTTGTATCAACTGCTAGGCGTTAATCTATACATGTACAGAGTAGCTATACATATATAGCTTAATTCTCAATAAATGAATTTAAAGTTTTAGATTTTGTAATTGATCGAATATTTTTATTTTTTGGTCAGTGGTGGGGCTTGAACTCAGGGCCTGGGCTCTGTCCCTGTTCTTTTTTGTTCAAAGCTAATGCTCTACCTCTTTGAGCTACAGCACTAATTCCCCTTGGTTTTCTGGTGGTTAATTGGAAATACGAGTCTCACACTTTCCTGCCTGGATTGGCTTCTAACCATGATCCTCAGATCCCGGCTCCTGAATAGCTGGAATTACAGATGTGAGCCACCAGCACCCTGAAACTATTGAATATTTTTAAATAATAGTATTTCTGTATAATTGTGCCCCATAGATGTATAACTAGTTTGTGTTAACATAAAATTTTCTCTTTAATTTATTAGATATGTAGTAGCTTACAGAACTTTTATAGAGACAAAATTCATGAGTTCTACATTATTCTATAGTTGGATGTGGTAATCTCTGGTTTTCTCCAAAGATTCAATATGTTTGTTGGCCCAATAATAACCTATGAGACTCTCAGAAAGCTCCAAATGCCATTGCCAGACCCAGTGAAACTAAAGCATCAGGCAAAAAGGCATTACATAGTGTGATCTTGGTAGTTCTTATTTTACAGAAACTATAGAAACAAAACAAACCAGAAACTTCAGAGTGGAAACCTTTGAAGGAAATATAAGAGTAGAAGCAATACTTAGAGGCCAAGCCTCATGGGTACTGCAGCTGAATGTTCACAGGTTCAAGCCCAGCCTAAGATACATAGCAAGACTCTTTCTCAGAAAAATGAAAAGGAAATATTTTTTAAATTTCTGTTTGAAAATGAAGATACGTACATTCCAGCTTTGAATATAAATCAGAGGGTTTTCCCCCTCTTTCCCTTTTTAGTGATGCAATTGCTGAGATCAGAGCCATTTGTATTGAAGAGATTGGAGTGTGGATGAAAATGTATAGTGACGCCTTCCTAAATGACAGCTACCTGAAGTATGTTGGCTGGACTCTGCACGACAGGGTAAGTTACTGCCTTCCAGGCTGTGATGAGAGACATGCTTACCAGAGTACTGCAAAGCAAAATTGCTGTAGTATTAACAGTCTGAAATTTAAGAGGATACAACTGAGTAGTTATTTGTTTGGTGATCATAATGAAACTAGAGATGTTGGCCTATGCATGGCTCTTGTTTTATTTAAATGCAATGTTCTTAAAACTACATGTAGTATCCCCAGAAGGTAATTGATTATCTATTTTTTTTCTTATTTTGAATATAAGGATATTTTTTTCGTTTTACTTAATATATACAAAGTAAATTTATTTTTTTAGTTGTTTTTGTTTGTGCTATTTTGTTTGAGACAAAGTCTTGTTATATAACCCAGACTGGCTTCAGATATTCATCCTTCTGCCTATGCCTTCTTCTTCTTTTTTTTTTAATCGGTTGTGGGGCCTGAATCTGGGCCTGGGCGCTCTCCCTCAGCTCTTCAGCTCAAGGTGAATGCTCTACCACTCGAGCCACAGCGCCACTTCTGTTTTTTTCTGCTATGTTCTGTTGAGGAATCAAACCCAGGTCCTCATGAATGCAAGGCAAGCCCTCTACCACTGAGCCACCTTTCCAGCCCCCTTGCCTCTGCCTTCTAAGTGCTGGGATTACCAGCGTTTAGCGTTTACCAGTGAGCCTAGCTTAAATAAGATTTCTTTTTTCATTCCTTAGAATTACATCACAGTACACTGTTTTATGAGAGTTAAATAGGTTTGTTGAAGCACAGAATATATGTCCTAAAACTCTGTTTCTTTTTCTTTTTTTTTTTTGGTCGGTTGTGGGGCGCTGTTCCTGAGCTCTTCAGCTCAAGGCGAGCACTCTACCGCTTGAGCCACAGCGCCACTTCCTAAAACTTTGTTTCTAATATCTTAGAAAAGGCTCTGATTTAAAAGAAATCTTACATTGAGTCCTGAAAAAGTAATTGTCAGAATAACCAAGCTTAAGAATGATATATTGATTGGTTTAGATTTTTAATGAAAAAAATAAAAATATATCAGTGGGAAGTTTATAAAAGTGACCTGACATTCTAAGATTTCTTTATTTATAGACTGATGACATGGCCTAAGTGGTAAGTGGTAGAGCCTCTATGTAGCAAGCAGAAAACCTTGAATTCAAATCCCAACGCGTGCTGCATGCGTGCGTGTCTGTCTGTCTGTCTGTCTCTCTTGTCTTTGTGTTAGAGGTAAGTGCTGAGGGATCAAAGCCAAGAGTTCATGAAGTAAGATTTGAATCATCAGCCTTAAACTGTTTCTCTAGAGATACAGCATCTAGATGAAGGGGAGGATATTTCCCTCATACAGTGTCAAAATCATATGAATGCTGTACTTAATGGAATAACTTTTACCCATCTTCCCCCTCCCCTTTTCCCCCTTTCACAACTGGAGTCATTTCCTACTCTAGCTTTATTCCTCTGTTCACTGCACCTACAGGTTATGGCTTGTGTCCAGATTCGTAACTAATCTGCCTTCCTATAAAAGACCAACTTTTTCAGGTAGCAAGTCAAAGTCTAACAAAGTAGACATCATAAGTTCTGTACCCACTGTTTGTAGATCTACCCCTGGGGGGTGACACGGGCTGTGCCTGCTTTAATATAACAGTAGTAGCCTCTGCTTTTCAGGCTACATAGCTTAATCCTTGTGGACTTATGCTCATGATGTCTTTCTGTATTTGGTGCAGTTTGCTTATACTTCCCTATTGCTTTAACTTTTACCTAGTATCTTAACTCGTTTTCTGCTGCTAAACAGAATACCTGAGGGTAGGGAGGTCATAAAGAGTTTACTTGGGTTTATATTTGGGGAAGTCCAACAGCATCTGCTCAGCTTCTGGCTAGGGCTTTCTGGTGGTTTAGCTGAGTGTATTCAGGAGATGTAAAGGAGGATGAACTTTTACAATAGTTACTGAATTCCTGTAAGATAAACATCCATCCACTCATGAGAGAAGACCTATCATGGCCTAAAAGCCTCTTCAAGGTCTATCCCCCATCTCTGAACAACCATCACAGTAGGAACCAATACTTAACTTGAGTTTCTAGCAGGGAAAACTATATCCAAACTATAGCACCTTGTATACAGATTTTTTTTTTTTTTTATTTTTATCTATTTTTTTCTATCAACTGTGAGGCTTGAACTTGGGGCCTCGCTACTATTCCTGAGTTCTTTTGCTCAAGGCTAACACTCTACCGCTTTGAGCCACAGGGCCACTTCTGGTTTTCTGGTATTTAATTGGAGATAGAGTCTTATGGACTTTCCTACCCAGCCTGGCTTTGAACTGTGATCCTCAGATATCAGCCTCCTGAGTAGTAGCAGCTTTGAGCCACCAGGGCATGGCACCGAATTCTTTTGTGTACTCTCTTGAATATGCTCAGTTTCCTACTTCAGACTTCTCATGGTAGCTAGAGAGAATCTACGTTCTGATAGCCCACTTTTTGTCTTAGTGTTCATTCATATCATGTATCTTTCGAGTTCATTACTGCTCTTTTTCTTTTTTTTTTTTTTTGGGTCCGGTCGTGGGGCCTGAACTCTGGGCCTGGGCACTGTCCCTCAGCTCTTCAGCTCAAGGCTAGCACTCTACCACTTGAGCCACAGCGCCACTTCCGGCTTTTTTCTTTTCGCTTATGTGGTGCTGAGGAATCGAACCCAGGGCCTCAGGCATGCAAGGCAAGCTCTCTACCACTGAGCCACCTTCCCAGCCCCCTACTGCTCTTTTTCAAGACTTTTCCTTTCCTATATTCCCTTTACCTCTTTCACATACTAATACACCTGCTGGACAGCCCATCTGAATTTGGTTTTCACTTTGTTACAGTACACTTGAGAATACGAATTATTGTCATATTGTTATATATTGTTATCCTAGAGATAAGCATTGTGATCTGTAACTGTCATTCTAACACTGCAGCTGAGGCAAGAGGGTTTTGAACTCAAGACTCCCCTGGTCTATTGAAGGATAAGGAACCTTTTTTCTGCCATGGAACCTTACAAAACATTCACTGGCCATACAAAATTGTTAATGCAGGGGCTGGGAAGGTGGATTAGCAGTGGAGTGCTCGCCTAGCATGCATGAAGCCCTCGGTTCAATTCCTCAGCACCACATACACAGAAAAGGCCAGAAGAGAGTGTTAGAGCAAAAGAAGCTGAGGGACAGTGCTCAGGCCCTGAGTTCAAACCCCAGGACTGAAACCCCCCCCCCCCAAAAAAAAGCACAAAATTATTAATGCAGATGGCTATGGACAGACAATATAAGAAGCATCCATTTCTGTCCCATGATTCTGTACCACATGATTGTGTGGGCCTTGTAAGGCCCACAGACAAGACTTTCCCCACCCCTAGAGAGAGTGTAGCTAGCCAGGCACTGGTGCTCGCCTTATTCCTAGCTACTCCAGGAGGCTGATGTCTTAGGATCGCGGTTTGAAGCCAGCCCAGGCAGGAAAGTCCTTGAGACTTTCTATCTATAATTAATTGTTTTAAGGCCCCCATGTTCTGAGTACTCTACTCCTCCAAAGGTGAGACAAGCCTCTAAAGTAAAATTGACAGCATCTTTGTGTCTCCAGCAGCTCCTGTGTGCATTCTAGCAGGACCGAAAGCCCCATACACCACCCACAGTAACACACCAAATATTTTCCTCACAATTTGGGAGATCTGACGAATGCTAACCACCTGGGAGGGGAGCTGTGCCTCAAGTGGTAGAGCGATATTCTTGACCAAAAAAGCAGCTCAGGGACAGCGCCCAGGCCCTGAGTTTGAGCCCCAGAACTGGCGAAATATTTTTTTTTAAGTATACCTAGCTCCAAAATTTTAAACACTAACAAACAGTCTAATTAATAATTGGGTAAATGATTTGATCAGACTTCTCAAAAGAAGCACAAATGGCCTGTAAGTACATGAAGAAATGCTTGCCCTCCTTAAACCATCAAGAAAGCAACAAATGCTGAGTGGAATAAGGGGAGCAGGAAACTTTGGTACACTGGTAGTGGCATGTAAATTAGCGCAGCCAGGATGGAAATCCATGTGGAGATTTCTCAAAAACACAAATACTTCTTAGCCTTGCTATACCGTTCCTGGGGGCATATACCTGAAGGATGTAAGTCAGCGTACAAGAGTGATGAACAGTCATGTGTATCCCTGCTTCATTGCTACTTCTGGGGCATAGAAACTTCATTCACTCTGAATTCTTTTTGGGAGAATTTTCTGAATTTATAGATGGTCCTAAATGAACTTTGATGACCAACAACCTGTACTCCAAGTTAATGATTATTTAGAAGGTTTTCTGAGGGCTGGGAAGGTGGCTCAGTGGTAGAGTGCTTGCCTTGCATGCATGAAGCCCTGAGTTCAATTCCTCAGCACCATATAAGCAGAAAAAGCTGGAAGTGGCGCTGTGGCTCAAGTGGTAGAGCGCTAGCCTTGAGCTGAAGAGCTGAGGGACAGCGCCCAGGCCCAGAGTTCAGGCCCCAGGACCAACCAAAAAAAAAAAAAAAAGATTTTCTGCTAGCAAATAGCATCCCCAGGTCTCTGTTTTAAATATTTTGCTTTTATTTTTTTGTTTTCCTAGCTGCTCTTCTAGAGATATGAAAAGCTCTAGTAAATATTAATAAATGATGATCCTTAAACACAAAATTTTGTTTCTATAGGATTATTCCAGTTATATATAGGTAAAAAGGAACATAACCTTCTTGGATTATAATTATAGACGAAAAATTCTAAGACCTTCAATACAATATGGGTAATCTGTCAAAGTTGATAAAAGTTTGAAAAAGTTCTGATTTAGTCATAAGTAAGCATTTGTAGTGCATTTTTTATTAAGTGTAATATCAACACAGGCTACATATTACTCAGTCTCATCTTGTAATGAATTTCAGTAGGAAGTAATATGAATGGTCAACCTGAAATTTATCTTAATCTTCATATACTTCTAAGGTTTTTTTTTTTTTTAATTCTTGTGTCATAGGATTAATTGTTTCTTTGTTTGTACTTTTGAAGCAAGGGGAAGTCAGGCTGAAGTGTTTGAAAGCTCTCCAGAGCCTATATACCAACAGAGAGTTATTCCCCAAATTGGAGCTATTTACTAATCGATTCAAGGTCAGTAACAAGAATGATGAACTTATTTTGCTTTCTACTTTGCAAATGCCAGGTATAGCTAATGTGGCAAATGACATTACGATAGCAAGTGTTCAGTTCCTCTTTTTAAAGTAAACTCATGAAATAGATACATGAATCTTTGCTTTACAACAGATGTACCCAACATACGTTCTTTTTCATTTGTCAGTCCTGGGGCTTGAACTCTGGGCCTGGACACTGTCCCTGAGTCTCTTTGTGCTCAAGGCTAATGCCCTACCACGTAAGCCACAGAGCCGCTTCTGGCTTTTCCTAAGTGATTTATTGGAGATAAGACTCTTACGGACTTTGCTGCCTGGGCTGGCTTTGAACCACTATCCTCAGATCTAGGATTACAGGAGTGAACTACTAGTGCTTGACATGTGTTATTAGTTAATGCCTTTGAAAGAAGGCTCTCTTGGTATTTATAGTATATTAATATTATGTTTATATTAAGCTGGGTGCTGGTAGCTCATGCCTGTTAATCCTAGCACTCAGGAAGCTGAAATTTGAGGATTGCAATTCAAAGTTTTCCTGGGCAGGGAAGTCTGTGACACTTATTTCTAATTAATTACCAAAAAACAGCCAGAAATGGAGCTGTGGCTCAAGTGAGAGAGCTCTATCCTCGAACTGAAAAAACTTAGGGATTGTGCCCAGGCCCTGAGTTCAACCTCAGGACCACAGCAACAACAAAAAGTTTCTATTATATAAGTGTTCGTGTATTCACATGACAACTAAAGGTACATTTTTCATATTATTTAAGGGATCCTAGTTAATGAGAAAGATTTTAAATTACAAATATACAACCCCCCCTTTATATAAGCACTATGATAATACAGCTTCAAAAGTGAAGTTTTCCATTTACTGTCCCCAGTGTTGCATATACACCTCAGAATACATTTCTCTGGCTTATTTATAGCCATGGTTCATTTATAACTTTTCCAGGATCGCATTGTATCAATGACACTTGATAAAGAATATGATGTTGCTGTGGAAGCTATTCGATTGGTTACTCTGATACTTCAGTAAGTATAGTATCTGTTACTATGTTAGTCTTCTGACATGAAATGCCTTTTCCCTAGCCTTCCTAATTTACTTCATATGAATTTCATCTGACTTATTAATATCATTGTCTATGGATATTAGCTTGTAGAAGAATTGTTTAGATGTTATTTTCTTGTTTGATCTGTATTTTTTTATTTGTGTCTAACATCATAAAGGGAAACACTTTCAAAGTAAGATAAAGAAGCTCATCAGCTTTGATGATGTGCTTTCAAAATTTAAGCAAAGGTAAAACTAAAAGTAAACATTTGTTTTGATTCTGACTTTTCCAGTGGCAGTGAAGAAGCCCTTTCCAACGAAGACTGTGAAAACGTTTACCATTTGGTGTATTCGGCACATCGCCCTGTCGCTGTGGCAGCTGGAGAGTTCCTTCACAAAAAGTAAGCTGTCTTTGAAACATGTTGTACTTTGGTGTACTGATGTTAGAACTCATAGAAAGAAGTCACAGAGTCTGAGCACAGTGCTGAAAGTGTCTGTTTCCCAGCGGGCTCATGAGCTTGTCACTGTCCTCTAGCCTATTCCTCACGAATCACATCCCTGAGATGCTTGTGACATACTCCTCATCCTGAAATCTGAAAGGATGGTTATAGATGGGAACATGCATGGATATCAAAGTTTCCTAAGAATTGTTCATGTCACCTGGTCGTTTTTTCCCTTTGAAATATCTGTCTTTCAACATTAGTAATTAAATTATGTGAAGTGGTGGCACCTTTAAAAGGTCTCTCAAACTGGGTACTATTGACTCAACGGCTGTATTCCTAGCCACTTGGGGGGGAGGGGGAGGAGGAGCAGGGGAAGTGCTGAGAGCTGAGGATCGTGGTTCAAAGCCAGCCCAGGCAGGAAAGTCCGTGCAACTCTTATCTCCAATAAACTACTCAGAAAACTGGAAGTGGCACAGTGGCTCAAGTGGTAGAGTGCTAGCCTTGAGCTGAAGAGCTGAGGGACAGCATTCAGGCCCATGACTGACAAAAAAAAAAAAAGTCTCAAATTTTCATGTTGTATTCTTTTCCCTATTCTCTCTTCATTGGGATGAAGAGGATTCTAATCAGCAGTCTCTACTAATTCTGATAATTTATGTATTTATGGTTTATTTAAATTACATGTCCTTTTTAGCAGAACATTGAACTAATGAGAGTTTATGAATATAAACACTTGTAAGAAATACATTTTTGATTATGGATGAGTGTATATGTCCTACAGTTTATTGATAGATTAGTTCATTCTTACAGTGTATACATTTTTTTCCCCCTAGTCCTGGGCTTGAACTCAGAGCCTGGGCACTGGCCCTGAACTTCTTCTTTTGCTAAAGGCTAGCACTCTACCACTTGAGCCACAGTGATATTCTGGCCTTTTCTGTTTATGTGGTACTGAGGAATCAAACCAGGGCCTCATGCATGCTAGACAAAGCACTCTACCTTTAAGCCATATTCCCAGCCAGTGAATACATTTCTAATTGCATCTTTACCTTCATTTTATTATTTTTATTATTACAGATTTAACATAGTAGCCTTGGTTATTGACAGGTGGACCTTCTAGCCCATTACGATACTCTGTGTGATTATGGGCTTCGACTTTTACGCAGAAGCACAGTTGTAAATCATGCACTGGGCAGCTATGATACATGGATGATTAACTTTGATAATGAGCAGTCTGGCATTCTCGCATCTGAGTTTTAGTGTTGCAGTAACAAATGATCTTATACTTAGTTGTAATACTTAAAGCGGGTGAAGTCTCTGGTAAGAATCTTTGTTAAATGGTAGCTAAGTCCTAGTTATTCTGGTAATGAAGTTCAAGAAGAAGAAAGTCAGAGTTTACAGGCATGAACATCAGGGCCATTCACACATGCTGAGCAAGCACTCTACCACTAGCTACATTTCTAGTCCCTGTTGCATAAGTTCCAAATAACATTGAACTTGTCAGTTACTCAATGTGAATAGAATGGAATAGAATAAGGCACTTCTCATATTTGTGTCTGTATTGTATCTGTACAATCCTAGTTACTCAGGAGGCTGAGATCAGGAGGATTATGATACGAGAACGTCCACAGGACTCCCATCTGCAAAATACCCAGCACAAAACAGGGGCAGCCATGACTGAAATGAATTTCATAAATATTTTATAGTTATCTGTACATTTTAGTTATCAAGGACATTCATGTCCGATTTGGCACATATCTGTAAACCTATGAAGTCATTGTGATAGATAGATCTAGATTCACAATAAACCTTAATGCCACACTCAGATGCCTCTTCCAGCCAAACACCTGGGTTTTTTTTTTTTGCCAGTCTTCGGGCTTAAACTCAGGGTCTGGGCGCTGTCTCTGAACTTTTGCTCAAGGCTCGTACTCTACCACTTAAGCCACAGCGCCACTTCCAGCTTTTTCTGTGTATGTGGTACTGAGGAATCAAACCCAGGGCTTCATGCATGCTAGGCAAACACCCTACCACTAAGCCACCTTCCCAGCCCCCAAATAACTCTTGTGTTGTCATTTCCTATTTGATATTTTTTTCTTATTTTATTCAACTTTTATTTATATAAGCCATAATATACTATTTGCCTTACCCCTGTTATACCACTAGAGAATATATATCTGTGTATTTCTATGGATTATTTCTGTCTGTCTGCTAGAGCAGGGGTGAGGAACCTTTATTGTGCCAGGAGCCGTTTGGGTATTTATAACTCCACTCACAGCTGTGCCTTACAACATTATTGACACGGGCGCAAGGTCCATGAGCAGCTGATGATGAGAAGCACACATGCCCTCTCATGCACCAAATGGTTTCCCAAGTCCTTTACAGCCTGATAAAGGGAGAGGACATAAAGGTTTCCCACGCCTGCTCCAGAGCAAGAGCTCCATGAGGAAACTGCTGTACAGAGGGGTTGGGAAAACGGATTTTATCTTGGTACCAGTGCTTACTTCACTTTTACCCAGAATAGTTCCTAAAAGTGAGGGACCTTTGGCAGTCTTTGTTGTATTAGAAGAAATCTATGCTGAAGATTGAAATTTTCAAATCCTTTCTTAGCCACATTTAGAAGTTTTGTCATTAGATGTATTTATAAATGTGAAATTCTTGTCACTACACTGAGAACAGTAACTTTCAGGATAATCAGCTTTAAATATAAAAGAATGTAAGATGAATGAAAATTAAAACTACGAAGTTTTATAATTACTGCTTTAACACTTGGTTAAGTGTCATAATTATGTTACTAAAATCAATATTTAAGAAAGCAGAATTCAGCTGAGTGTAGTGGTAGCTCACAGCTGAATCCTAGCTACTTGGAGGTAAGAGAAGAAGAGGATCACAGTTTGAGGCCATTTCCAGCAAAAATTTCATGAAAACTCATCTCAACCACAAAACAAGTAAACCTGGATGTGTTGTGGGCAACTCATGTAAATAGGAGAATAATGGTTCTGACTAACTTTGGTATAACACAAATATAATAAAAATACAAATATTGCTTATAATTTTCATAAAAATTTGAGCATTGACTTTTTCATCATTATTTTTCTTCTATATTTTCTTTTCTTTTCTTTTTCTTTTTTCTTTTTGGTTGGTCTTGGGGATTGAACTCAGCCTGGGTGCTGTCCCTGAGTTTTTCTGCTCAAGGCTAGCACTCTGCCACTTTGAGCCTCAACACCACTTCTGGTTTTCTGGTGGTTAATTGGAGATATGAGTCCCATGGACTTTCCTGCCCCTAGTTGGCTTTGAACCATGATCCTGAGATCTCAGCCTCTGAGTAGCTAGGATGACAGTTGTGAACCACCCTGGTTACATTTTCTATATGGTTATACTAGGAAAATTTTTTTAGATCTAGCCTTTGACTTACATAGGCATCAGTTCCAGATGCATTGAGCCAGATTGGTAATCTCATCTCTTGTATTGTCTTTTTTTATTTAACAACACTAAAGTAGTTTGGGTGGTGAAAGAAAACACTAAAATTCATCTCCATGTAAATTGTAATGCTCTTTATTTTTTCTTCCTTTGTCTCCAGGCTGTTTAGCAGGCATGATCCACAAGCAGAAGAAGCATTAGCAAAGAGGAGAGGAAGGAACAGTCCAAATGGGAACCTCATTCGGATGCTTGTTCTTTTTTTTCTTGAAAGTGAGGTAAATTTTTAAAAAATATTTTTCTTAATGTTATTTAATTCCTTGGGATCAATTAGGATTGTGTTGACCATTGGAAAACAAGTCAGTTTCCTATTAAATTGCCTTGATAAGTTTCTTTTTTCTTTTTTTTTTGGGGGGGGGGGGGGAGTTCCGGTCGTGGGGCTTGAACTCTGGGCCTGGGCGCTGTCCCTCAGCTCTAGGCTAGCACTGTACCACTTGAGCCACAGCGCCACTTCCAGCTTTTCTCTTTTTGCTTATGTGGTGCTGAGGAATCAAACCCAGGGCCTCAGGCATGCGAGGCAAGTGCTCTACCACTGAGTCACCTTCCCAGCCCAAGTTTCTTTTTTTCTAAAGTAGTTGTGCAAAGAGGTATTCAGTAAGTCAGATGATGGTACAGAGCATCTCAATCAATGTCACCCCTGTGAGTTCTTGATTATGGAATGAATATAGATAATTTATTTGGGAAAAAGTTCTGAATATATATGCAAGTGTGGGAAGTGATGCTGTGGCTCCAGTGGTAGAGTGCTCACCTTGAGCTGAAAAGCTCAGGCCCAGAGTTCAAGCCCCATGACCGACCAAAAAAAAAAAAAAAAAATTCTAAATATATATATGCAAGTGTAGTTCAACATTGAATATACACTGGTAATTATTAAACTTTTAACTGTTATAGAAACGCAACACTTAAGTACTTGAAAATATTTTCCTATTTTTCCCTATGTTGTTTTATATAACTTATTAAACAGTCTGAAGGCAAATATTAGTTCAGTGGTAAAGTGCTTGCCTAACATGTACAAAGCTCTTAGTTCACTTCCTAGCACCAAATAAAAAGCAAAGTCTGTGGAAGTTGTCAAGCTGTTGAGAACATTATTTTTTTTTCTTGTTTGGAAAGTCTTTAATAAGGAAGAGGGAAAGTCTGAATTTTAGATGTTTGAAATGATAGTACAGTTCCATTAGCAGTAAGTATTTCCATGCTCTGTAGCCAATTGTCACTTAATCATTTTATGATTAACACTAACATGTTAGCAGGACCAAAAGTAAAGCTTCGTTTGCTCAATGAAGTGCTTTATGGCACTTTTTTCTGTATTTCCTACTACTGGCATGACATTTAATAGACCACTGAGTTTTGCAACTGAGAATTGAGAAAGGAATAATTGCAGTGGCTTCTGTAGCTGACAAGAATGTCATACTGGAGAACTGGGAACTTGAGTTGAAAATCTAAGACTCATTGTTATTTTGGAAAAAGTTTTGATTTTGAGATGCTGAGGAGAAGGACAAATTCAAGTTCAGCCTGGACTACCTAGCAAGTTCGAAGCCAGCTTGAATGAACTACCTAGTAAGGCGTTGGCTAAAAAATAGAGAGTGGTCGGGCTGGGAAGGTGGCTCAGTGGTAGAGCGCTTGCCTTGCATGCCTGAGGCCCTGGGTTCGATTCCTCAGCGCCTCATAAGCAAAAAGAAAAAAGCCAGAAGTGGCGCTGTGGCTCAAGTGGTAGAGTGCTAGCCTTGAGCTGAAGAGCTGAGGGACAGCGCCCAGGCCCAGAGTTCAGGCCCCACGACCGGACCCCCCCAAAAAAAAATAGAGAGTGGTGGGGAGAAAGAAGATAAGGAACATGAAAGAGAAAAGAGGAAGAGAATAATTAATAAGAATAGTTTAACTAGGCATACAAAACTATCCAGGGGAGCTTGTTAAAAGGACCAGTTGTTTTGTTGTTGTTGTTTTGTCGGTCATGGGGCTTGAACTCTGGGCTTGAGCACTGTCCCTCAGCTCTTCAGTTCAAGGCAAGCACTCTGCCACTTGAGCCACAGCACCACTTCCAACTTTTTCTGCTTATGTGGTGCTCATGCATGCAAGGCAAGCACTCTACCACTGAGCCACCTTCCCAGCCTGAAAAGTTGTTTTTCACAGTGGGACCATGCACTACATTTCTAGTCAACTTGTAGCTCAGAGTAGCCATTCTCTATGTATGGTAAAGATTAAAATACTCTTACATCCTCATGTGTTCTGCTATTTGCTAGTGTTTAAAACGTGTTAAAACTTTAAGACAAGTATTCCATGTCATTCATTTGTCCCATCCCTTTAAGCATAGACAAAATAATGCTGAATAAAAGGAAGGAAGGAGAAAGGAAAGAAAAATAAAGGAAGCAGGAAGGAAGGATGGATGATGGTCACACAGACAGTATTGCAGCGTATTTCCCAGTTCTCCTTTATGACATTCTTGTCAATTGCAGAAGCTACTGCAGATTCTATTTAAGGGTTCTGGTTGGTTCATGGGCATTACATTGGCCTTTATAGTCTCCTATATTTTACAAGAAATATTGTTGGTGGAAATTGTTCTTACCCTGTTCCATTAATGTACACTTGCAGTTGAGTACTGAAGCAAGATTCTCTTAATATTATGGCATTCCAGCCATGTTGGAATGAGGATGAATTCCTTTGTTTTGCTGTAAAAACATTTAATTAATAAGATTTTAGTGCTGGGCACTGATCCCACCTGTAATCCTCACTACTCAGGAGGCTGAGATCTGAGGATCACAGTTCAAAGCCAGCCCGGGCAGGAAAGTCCATAAGACTCTTATCTCCAATAAAAAACCACTAGAAAAGCAGAAATGGCGCTGTGGCTCAAGCGGTAGAGTGCTCGCCTTGAGCTGAAGAGCGCAGGGATAGCACCCACACCCAGAGTTCAAGCCCCACGACTGACCAAAAAAATAATTGACAGATTGAGAAATCATAAAGAATAATAATAAAATCTATCTTACAAATGAGTTGCAGATCATTTAACTGGGTTTCAGTGATCTGGTTATTATTTTTCTTTGTTTTACTGGAATATGAGTTGGTAATATTTTAATACTAGAATTTTAGATGTTGGAAGAAGTTTACCTTTCAGGTAAAATTATGGATATTAAGAATTTTTTTCTAAACTACTTATTATTTTTCCTTTGTACCTAAAAGTGACATTTTTAGCTACCCCAACTTTTATGGCAATTATTAATTTCAAGCGACAAAGTACATTATATTCAGATGCATGCCAGTTGGTAAGATATATGATATTTGAGTGTAATGAGTTGATTCTTGTGGTTTACACCGGTTTATAGGCAGTTTATTGTGCAACTGTGATGATTTTTTTTTTTAAACAGGGACAAGGAAACTAATAATTAAAATTTTATGTTCTTCGAAATTCATTGGTGACTGCCTTTATTTCAGCATGCCTATAATGCTGAAGACCCATTATAGGAGTATTTTATTTTAGGCTTAATAGTATGGGATGCTTATATGACTTACAAATTATTTTCTATAATTATTGACCAGAACAGGGAGGCATTGGGGGAAGCTGTAAAGGAAATGAGAAAAGATGGATACAAAGTCCACCCATAACCTATCACTTTTTTTTTTTTTTTTTGGTCAGTCGTGGGGCTTGAACTCCGCCTGGGCTCTGTTCTTGAGCTCTTCAGCTCAAGGCTAGCGCTCTACCAATTGAGCAACAGTGCCACTTCTGGCTTTTTCTGCTTATGTGGTGCTGAGAATCGAACCCAGGGCCTCATGCATGCTAGGCAAGCACTCTACCACTGAGCCACCTTCCCAGCCTCCAGAAAATCACTTTTTAAAAACTTAAGTTTCCTGGAAGATCTCTAAAGATCAAAGCAACAGAGACCAATGGTCCAAAAACAGTGTTTTTAGGATGTAACTTTGGAGGGTTTGCAAGCCATGCCTGTGTTCTTTGCAAGCAAAAATGCCAGTCCTTATTCTTTGCTCTGGGTTTGACAGCATCTTTGGCAGACTATCTTAGTGTGTTTTTCTGAGGCATTTCTGGAATCAGGGCATTCAGTTTTTTTAAAATGCAGAATAAGGCCAAAAAAGAGAGGGCATTAAATAGGTCATCAAGATTCAGATCAAAGTTAAGAACGTGACAGTTAAGAATGGGAGAAGAAAACCCAACGCAGGTGCAAATGTGCCAGTGTAATAACAGTGGATAACAAGTAGGTCTAGAAAGGTGACTTTCATCCTTTATTGGCTTCTAATGAGAAAAACATTTTCTGTCAACAAGTATGAGTGTGTGACAACATTTGAGAGCAGAAGATGTTCATTGTGTTGTAGAGCCTTGGCCTATATGCACACGCGCCTGGTGTGATCACCATTGGAAAAACAAAATAATATTTACCTCTTTTATGTGCTATGTACTTTTTTCCTCCAGTGCAATTTTTTTTTGCCCTTCAGTCTTCTCAATACATAAATTAGTTTTGCTTTTGGGGGGGTGGGAGGCGTCAGTCGTGGGGCTTGAACTCTGGGCCTGGGCTCTTCAGCTCAAGGCAAATGCTCTACCACTTGAGCCACAGCGCCACTTCTGGTTTTCTGGTGGTTAACTGGAGATAAGAGTCTCTCAGACTTTGCTGCCTGGGCTGGCTTTGAACCATGATCCTCATGTCTCAGCCTCCTGAGTCTCTAGGATGACAGATGTGAGCCACCAGCGTCCAGCCACAAATTAGTTTTAACAACCCAATAATGGGTTGCAGTCTAGTTTGAAATATACTGATTTTAAGAGGTTGGTTTAGTTGGACTTTATAAGCCTGAAAGGTGGAAGGTCAAATACCTAGGTTGAAAAAAAATTTAGTATTAGGAACTGAAATAATGCCAATGCCTTTTTACTCACCTTCCCTGCAGTCTTCTTTGGTACTGTGCTTTTTGGTAAGATCCAAGATTTATTGAACTAGCAAGCGTAAGAGTTTGGTACAGAGCATTTAATGAGAAACTTAACGTATGTTCAATAGGGCAACATGGTTTCAAGAGAGTATGACTAACAAAATGAGGTTGATATGAGGAATGCACTGTATCAAATGGAAATAAGATTAGAAAAGAGGAGGACAAGAGAGTACCTTACATTTTGGACCAAGGCAAAAATGAAATAAAGCTGTTAGTAAAATTTCACATGGAATTCAGGGAAGAAGTGATTCATTTTCAAACCAAGTGCCAGTGGTTTTACCCTATCATCGTAGCTACGCAGGAAGCTGAGGTCTAAGGATGAAGATTCAGGCCAGTCCAGGCAGGATAGTTTGTGAGACTCTTATCTCCAATTAACCAGCAAAAGGTAGGTGTGGAGGGATGGCCTAAATAATAGAGCACCAGCTTTGAGCAATAAAGCCAAGCAGAGCATGAGGCCCTGAGTTCAAGCCCTAGTATCAGTGTGCGTGAACATACACACGCACACACGCGCACACACACACACACACACATACATGCGCGCGGAGAGACAACCAGAAATACTAAAAAGTAACAAAATAGTTTAAAATTGCAAGAGTTTGTCTGTCAAGCTATCTACTGTTTCCTCATCTATACATGATGTCATTGGACTAGGAGATCCTTTGTCTTACTACTGTAAATGCTGAAACAATAATCTACATGCTCTGTCCATATGTGGAATATGAAGATGTTATCCTCCATATGATTGTTAGAACCAATCAGACCAAGATGTTTTAATTATGAACAGTTTGTTAGTAACTTACAGTCCTGTTAACAGTTTATTAACTATTCATTAATTGCCCTTCATTTGTTCATTTTAGTTACATGAACATGCAGCCTACTTAGTGGACAGCTTGTGGGAGAGTTCTCAAGAACTGTTGAAAGACTGGGAATGTATGACAGAGTTGCTACTAGAAGAACCTGTCCAGGGAGAGGAAGGTACAGTATTTTAACAAGTTGATGTGCATGTAGTTACGTTTCCATTAACAACCCTGCCAACTTCTACCGATCACTTCTTGAAAAAGAGTGTACACAGGCCATGCCTTGTGGTTTTTGTCAAGAGAAGAACTTATATTGTATAGCAAAAAAGGGTGGGTTTTTTTTGGTTTTGGTTTTGTTTTTTTTTGTTGGTCATGGGGCTTGAACTCTGGGCTTGGGCTCTATCCCTGTGCTCTTTAGCTCAAGGCGAGCGCTCTACCGCTTGAGCCACAGCGCCACTTCCAGTTTTCTAGTGGTTTATTGGAAATAAGAATCTCACAGACTTTCCTGCCTGGGCTGGCTTTGAACCGTGATCCTCAGATCTCAGCCTCCTGAGTAGCGAGGATTACAGGCGTGAGCCACCGGTGGCTGGCTAAGAAGGGTGTTTTAAACATCCTCATAATATGCTTCCCTGCAGTTCAAATGTTTTAAAGATCTAAGTGTTCTGTAATTCACAACTTGCTTTCTTGATCCTGATTTAAAAAATTAGTTTGTCCTGAATCTTCTTGCTACATTTATATACTATAAATAATATAGGGAGCAATAGTAATAATATTGAAGAGGAAGTTATAACTGTACCTTTCTACACGCCTGTATAAAGAGTGTTCAGAAATCTACAGTTTATTAACAGCTTATTATACCATAGCAAATGGACAAAAATCTTAGAGGTCCACGACAAAACTTCATCCCAGTTACTCAGTCTCGTACTCAGAAGACCAAAGTGTAAGGATCACTTAAGTCCATTAATTCAAGTCTAGCCATAGCAACATACTGAGACTTTTATCTCGAGAGAAAAGCAAAACTTGAGAAAAAGAATATATATTCTACTTCATTGATTATTAGATAGGAACAAAATAATAACAAAATACCACTTTACAACCACTGAACTGGTATAAACAGACTTTATGACAGCAAGTGCTGGCAGGGATGAAAGGAAGGAACTGTTACCATTCTAGCAGTTCTGGGTATAAATTACAACAAATCCATGCGTACCCATGTATTAATGATGCTTTTTGCAGCATGTTTCATGATGCCAAAACCTGGCAATATTTGATCAAAAATAGGTACAGTTCCTAAGTTACGGTATATAAGTTAGGTAATAATGTATACTTTACAACTATAATTAATGTATTCGTATGTATATATTGATTTGGAAGACATTACAGTATCTTACTAGTTTAAAATATATAGCATGATCCTTTTGTTTATGTTATTTTGTTCTGTTTTAGCATTTGTTTCTCTCTTTTTTTTGCCTTTTGTTTCACCTTAGCAATGTCTGACCGCCAAGAGAGTGCTCTTATAGAGTTAATGGTGTGTACAATCCGCCAGGCTGCTGAGGCACATCCTCCTGTGGGAAGAGGTACCGGCAAGAGAGTAAGTCCGCACGCGTGAGAAGTCTGTGACACATCTTTTAGTGTAATGGTCTAAAATACGTGGCGTTGTGAAAGTGTGGTACTTTTGTAAAGAATCCGTGCTCTCATGACTTTATTATGTATATAGTCTACTAGACCCATCTTCCAAAGATAAATTCCTTTTTCTTCATGTTCCCATAGTTTTTGTACCCACTTCTATCATAGTACTTTGTACCTACTTCTATCATAGTACTTGTGCAAGACTTTAAGGCTTTTCATAATCATATCTTTTATAAGTGCATGAGAGGTCTGGGAAGTGTACTTTGTTTCATTTGTAAGTTCTTTTTTTTATTTTTTCTTTTTATTTAATAGCTGTGTCATTTGGGGATAGGTGGAATATTTGTGTGTGGATGCCTTATAATGTAGATAAAGGTTAGCTGAGATGATCACAGGTGGTGGGGAGTATTTCTGGTAGATAAAACTTTTCTGCAAAAATAACGACCCAGATCTTGAGTCACATTCCAGAAATCCCAGCTTTTCAAGGCCAGATGGGTCATAAACTTAGAGATCCCATCTCCAATAACAAGCATGGTTGCACACACAAGAAGCATGGGTAGGAAGATCACAATTCAAGATAATTCCTGGTAAAAATGAGAAAGCCCATCTAAAAACATAATTTATCTAATAAAAGACTGAAGCCTGTGACTGAGAAGGTGGCTCAGTGGTAGAGCGCTTGCCTTGCACGTATGAGGCCCTGGGTTTGATTCCTCAGCACCACTTATGCAGAAAAAGCTGGAAGTGGCACTGTGGCTCAAATAGTAGAGCACTAGCTGTGAGCTGAATTGCTGAGGGATAGCGCCCAGGCTCAGAGTTCAGGCCCCATGACCGACCAAAAAAAAAAGACTGAAGCCATAGTTCAAGTGGAAGAGCCACCTGTATTATAAATATGACCGCCAGAACAGAAAAGTCAAATAAAAATTCTAGAGTTGAAAGTACAATACAGAAATTTGAAAATTAAATAGCAGATTTGGGATGTGTGTTAGTTAGCTTTCTGTTATTGTAACAAAATGCCTGAAGGTAGAAACTTTTTTGTTTTGGTCGGCCGTGGGACTTGAACTCGGGCCTGGGTGCTGTCCCTCAGCTGTTCAGCTCAAGGCGAGCACTTGAGCCACAGCGCCACTTCCAGTTTTCTGGTGGCTCTTGGAGATAAGAGTCTCACGGACTTTTCTTGCCCAGGCTGGCTCTGAACCGTGATCTTCAGATCTCAGTCTCCTGAGTAGCTAGGATGACAGGCGTGAGCCACCGGTCCCCCGGCAAGGTAGAAACTTTTAAGGAGGAAAGGTTTATTTTGTAAGTTTAAAGGTTTTCTGTCCACGATTATTTTGGGGCCTGTGGCAAGGCCAGAGAATCACGGCAGAGAATGTGACTGATAGCCAAGAACAAGAGAAGGAGAGGCCAAGAGCCTGATAGGCATGCTCAGTGGTAGGACACTACTTGGTGAGCAGATGCATGGTTTGATTGCAGTCCCCATTATGTCAAAAAGTATAACAACATCCTGTTGGCTCCTCATTCATTATGGGAAAAGACTGCATGAGGCGTATCAGAAGGGATGAATTTAAGGGGTCATCTTGAATATTAGGGGTTCCACATTACTTTAGCTCAAGAATCAGCTATGGTTCATTCAGATAGGGTCTCCAGGTTTTGCCCAGGACTGGGCTTTGGAGTTCAGTCCTCCCATCTACTGGGATTACAGGCATACACCACTAGTTCCCAGCAATGGCTTCCATTTCTGTGTTCATAATTGCTGCTTTTGGGAAATGTTTATATTTTTATTTAAGTTGTGGATTTAGCTAACCAAGCCACATAATAAAATAATAATGCATATTAAATTTGTATAAAATTACATGTATTTATTTCAGGAATTTGGTAGGACCTGACATTTTTTTTAACCATTTTGATATCTAGGTGCTAACTGCCAAAGAAAGAAAAACGCAAATAGATGACAGAAACAAACTAACTGAACATTTTATCATCACACTTCCTATGTTACTATCAAAGGTATAGTATCATTTTCAGTGTTCTGAGACATGTCACTGAATTTACTTTCAATGCCTGACGTGCGTTGTTTATTTTTGTTTTGCTGTTTCTCTTTCTAGTACTCTGCAGATGCAGAAAAGGTAGCAAACTTGCTACAAATTCCTCAATACTTTGACCTAGAAATCTACAGCACAGGCAGAATGGAAAAGGTACGGCACGGTGCAACCGACTTCCACCTGGAATTTTTACTAGCTGGATTATTTCATTTTCATGCACCCAGATAAGCTTACTTGAGAAGCTTTTTTTCTTTGAGTAGTAACCCCTATCATGGTTTTCCGTTTTCTTTCCTCCTCAGCATCTGGACGCGTTGTTGAAGCAGATTAAGTTTGTGGTAGAGAAGCACGTGGAGTCAGATGTCCTCGAGGCCTGCAGTAAGACCTACAGCATCCTGTGCAGTGAGGAGTACACCATCCAGAACAGAGTGGACATCGCTCGGAGCCAGTTGATTGATGAGTTTGTAGACCGATTCAACCATTCTGTGGAAGACTTGCTGCAAGAGGTTTGTTCCAAGGTTAAAATACACAGACAGTAATTTGGGGTAGTAATTCAGTGTAGCTGTAGCTATGTGTATATATTATTTCCATTTTGAAGTAAAATTTTTTACTCCTTTCAAAACTTAGCCAAGTTACTGCCGTGCTGTATCCTACTTAGCCTCAGATACACTTCATTTTTATGTTAGAGGTTTTTTTTTTTTCTTCCTCCCTTCTTTTAAGAAAACTTTTCAAGCTGGGTGCCAGTGGCTCACCCCTGTCATCCTAGCTACTCAGGAGTCTGAGATCCAAAGATCGAGGTTCACAGCCAGCCCAGGCAGGAAAGTCTACGAGACTCTTACCTCCAATAAACTACTCAGAAAACCTGAAGTGGCACAGTGGCTCAAGCTGTAGAGAGCTCGCCTTGAGCTGAAGAGCTGAGGGACAGCATTCAGGCCCAGAGTTCAAGCCCCATGACCAACAAAAAAGCAAAGAAAGCTTTCAATCTGAACCACATAGGAGGTGGAGGTGGGAGGATTGTGATTCAAGGCCAGTTTTAGCACGCACGCGCGCACGCACACACACACACACACACACACACACACACACACACACACACACACACACACACACACACACACACACACACACACACACACACACACACGAGTAAAGCCCTATCTCAAAAATCAAACTGGGAAAGTGGAGCTGTGGCTTAGTAGTAGAGCACCAACCTTGAGTGAAAAAGCTTCCAGGACCTGAGGTCAAGCCTGTGTGCACACACATGATGAGACTGCCTATAATCCCAGTTCTTGGGAGAGGCCTGCACCTAGCCAAAACACACAACACTATCTGAAAATTAAACTAAAACAAAAAGTACTAGAGGCATGGTAGCATAAGTGATTGAGTGACATGGTAGTCGGAGTAAGGCCCTGAGTTCAAACTCAACCACCACCCAAAATAAAGTCTTGAGGTTTGTTTTTTCCTGATTTTCTTTCCTATTCTGGGACGTGATTCGTATTTTCATATTAACTAAATTATTATAATGTATTGATGAAAAGAACAGGCATATTAAGGATGCTTATAGAGAATGCTGGCTAACCAATGGTATGCTCAAGATGTCAGCAGGCATCTCCACTTTCTTTTTAAATAATTTCTGTGACTCCTGCCTTACATCCCCTTCCCAAACTACGATGAGATTATCTAATAATCTGTTAGTTCATGATTGCTCGCTTTCCAAAGGATTTTTGTACTATTTGTACTCTTCTGTTTTTTTAAACATACAGTTTTCTACTGTGGTTATTTAAGCTGCAGAAGTAACTTATAATCAGTAAGTCTTGAGACTTAAAACTGTTTAAAACTCATTAAAACTCTTCCATCCTGGGGGTATAGCTCACTGGTAAAGTATTTGCCAGTTCAGTTCCTAGATCTTACTCCCCAAAGACCCTTTTTTTACTCAGCAATTTCAGTTTCAAGGAATTTGTCATATAACATTAATTGGAAAAATGTACAGTCATGTACCACATTATTTAAATGTAAGTCCTGGGTATCTTCACCAGGTGATGGGATTTCTGGGAATTTTTTTGTCCTTATTGATGTTTATCTATGGTGAATGTATGAACAGGGCTATGGCTGAAGTGGCAGAGCGCTTGCCTAGCAAGTAACCACATCTGGTTCGAGCTCCAGTTACCACCAAAGAAAAAGGCAGTGAATCTTTATTATTTACACAATGACTTTTACTTTGGACATTTAAGTATTCATAAACTTGAATGTGAATGTAAATAGTGATAACGAGATGATCTTCTTTTTAATTTGTAGGGTGAAGAAGCTGATGATGACGATATTTACAATGTTCTTTCCACTCTAAAGCGGTTAACTTCTTTCCACAAGTATGTCATTTACAGTACATACCAACATTCACGATGGATTATAGTGCTTGTTATTCCTATCTCCCAATGAGCAATTTTAGATAAATAGTGAGAGGTTGTAGTGTGATTTTATTTATTCAGATTCTCTAATATGAAAACTTACCATTTAATGTATATATTAATGAATATACTTAACATGTAAAAGGTTTAAATGAATTAATACTTAACAAATTAATGAGTTTGTTTTAAAATAGATTTCTTAGCTATAGATTTCAATTGGTAGCTTTTAGAAATGTTGCTAAATTTTGAACAAGGCAATTTCTCAGTTATATAAAAGAAATTTAAGAGGTCTATTAATACGCTATGACAATAACAATTTTTTATATTGAGAATTACTAAGACTAGATTTTAAGTGTTACTACAAAAAATGTGAGGTAATACATGTTAATTAGCTGACATTCGCCATCTTGTAATGTTTACATGTTTCAAAATATACATGATAGTATTAAAAGCACATTTTTATTAGCTAAATACTGAAAAGGAACCATGATTTTGGAGAAAGGCATGAAAGTAGTTTCTTTGGCTTTTTTTGTTTTACTCTGAGTTCTTGAAGGCTTGGTTGTTACTGTTCTTAGTGTGTGTGTGTAGTGTGTGTGTGTGTCTAGATTTAAGTTAGGAAACAAGGCTCAGATAAATGTATGTTTTTGAGTTTTATTTTATGTGTCACTTGTAAGAAGGCAAGTGTATTTTATGAAGAAAAACAAATAGAACTTTATTGTCGAAAGAAAGTTTGAAGCCGGGCACTGGTGGCTCATGCTTGTAATCCTAGCTATCCAGGAGACTGAAATCTGAGGATCGTGGTTCAAAACCAGCCCAAGCAGGAAAGTCCCTGAGATTTGTTCTTCAGTGAACCACCAGAAAACCTGAAGTGGCACTGTGGTTCAAAGTGGTGGAGCACTAGCACTAACATTGAGCAAAAAGGCTTAGGGACAGTGCCCAGGCCAGAGTTCAAGCCCTATGACCGACAAAAACAAAACAAAACAAAAAAGCAAAGTAAGTTTGATTTGCAACTCTTAAACCACTTTCTGAAACCTAAGCTTAGAGCTAGATGTTGTAGTACTTGTCTATAATCCATACTACTAGCAAGATTGAGTCAAAAGAAGGACTTGAGCCCAAGAACTAGAAGCCAGTCTGAGCATTGTAGTAAAATATTGTCTCAAACACTAAATGGAAGGAAGGAGGACACAAAGAAAAGAATGAAGGAAATCTAAGCCATTTCATATTTAATTTTTCTGGAATGCTATGGAAAAGTAAAGCCCCCTGTATTTTGTTAGGGAGAGTGGTGGGATTAAATTGATTGAAATACAGTGTAAACATGAGATATAACAGTGAAATCATCCATCTGAATGTAAGCTAATGTTTAAAATACTTAGTTGTTTGATAAAAATTGATCACCACTGTCAAATGAACTACTTTAGTAGTATAATTCAGGAGAACTTAAAAATGATCTCACTGTTAACCTAGTGCAGATAGATGTTATCAGGCTATATAAATACTTATTGCATAGTTTTTGATGTTTCCCGTATTCCCTTTCCCTACTTTTGTCTGATTTTTTGTTGGATTGGTTTGGTTTGGTTTTTTGGTCACTTGTGGGCCTTGAACTCAGGGCCTGGCCACTGTCCCTGAGCTTTTTCCCTCAAGGTTAATACTCTACCACTTTGAACCATAGCACCACTTCCAGCTTTTTCGGCAACTTACTGGAGATGAATCTCACAGACTTTCCCACCCAGGCTGGCTTTGAACAACGATCCTCAGATCTCAGCCTCCTGAGTAGCTAGGATGACAGGTGTGAGCCACCAGTGTCCAGCCTTGTTTTTGTCTTGAGTTTTATTTCATGACTGCAAATCTCTTTCACACTGTGCATATGGTTATATATCTTCACATTATGAGTAGACCTGTTTAAAATGTAAATTATTCTAAAAAGGCCAGGCACTCTATATGGAACATGAGCCTAGGCAAACTGTGGGATAGAAGCCTTCAGGTAAAGTTGTAAGATTTGTTGCTGGTTTCTCTCATAAATTCCTATTGTCAGCACTTATTTTTCTTGCTTGTTCCCTCTTTGACACTTGGACATTTCTTCTGGATCTTTCTGAGTTCTACACAAAATGGTTATTTTGCTCTTCTAGTCACTGAAACTATGCACAAGTTTAAACTTTCTTCCACTGTAAAATTAATGTGTCTTTTGTTTGTTTTAGTGCTCACGATCTCACAAAATGGGATCTGTTTGGTAATTGCTACAGATTATTGAAGACTGGAATTGAACATGGAGCTATGCCAGAACAGGTATGAACTTACTGATATTCCTTTACTGTTTTTGAAAGCTACGCTTCTCTAAAATCATAGAAATAGTGTTGTTTTTTTTTGTTTTTTTTTTTTTTTCTGGTTCTGGATCTTGATCTTGAGCCATACTTCCAGGCCAGCTTTTTGCTGATTATTTAGAGATGAAGTCTCAAATACTTTTCTGTCTGGACTGACTTGAAACTACAGCCCTTTGATCTCAGCCTCCTGAGTAGTTAGGGTTACAGATGTGAGCCAGAGGGGCTCAGAGTTGAGAAATCTTTAATGCAACCACTCCTTTGAGTGATCATTAGAACAGTTAGACAAAGGTTATGTTAATGTATTTAAAGTTTAATGTTAACATAAGCAAATATTTCTTCTAGGAGCAATATCATTGATTACTCTCAGCACTTTACAAGTTCTGATTAATTTATTATGTAATGGAACATCCCCCTTCGCGCCCCCCCCCCTCCCCCCCCCCCCCACACCTTCTTGATAGTAGCACTCTTAGGAGGTTTAAACTCAGGACTTCATGCTTGCTAGGCTGGCATGATTCTGCTGAGCCATGCCTCTGCCCTGCTTTTCACTGGTTGCTGTTAGGATAGGGTGTCTCCTCTTGCTTCTGTCCACCTATTTCTAGCCTCTCGTCATCTCGGGTATCACAGGTGTACACACCCTGAGTCGCTTTGACTTGTCTACCTAGCTGGCTTGGCCCTACCATCATCTTAGTCTCATTACGAACTGGAGCATTCTAAATGGAGATCATATCAGGTCATAGGTATGACCTGAGTTTTATTATAAAACCAAAATTAAATGGCTTTTGGGGTGCATGAGTAGATTTTAGATCTTTCTGTATTCACCTACAAGTTAGAGTGAGTGGAAGAGACAGGAATTGCTCACATTCTATATCAAAAAAGAAATGGTCATTTTGTGTAACGCCAGGTACTTAGGAGACCAGAATGCCAGCTTCATCAAGACGTCAGCTGTGCTTTGGTGATGGATGGAGACTCTCATTTACTAATATGGACTCTTAAATAAGGCTCTATTACTCTAAAGCAAGAAAAATTGCAACGGGCTTACCAGAATTCTGATTCAGATTCAAGTGAGTCCCTGAAAGGAGGCACAGTTGTAAAGCCTGGCTTCCCAGTTGTATGAGGCGAAGGCAGGCGGATCCTTACACCAGAAGTTTCAGGGTGACCTCGGCAATATTTGCTTTTTGTCCTCAAAAAAGGAAATATAGAAACAGTATTATTGCTAAAATTAATTCTTGTTTTGGTTTGGTTTTTTGAGACAGGGCTTTGCCACGCAGTTCAGGTTGGCCTCAAAGCTCACCTCCCTCCTAATCTCAGCCTCCCTAATGCTAGACAACAGGTGGATATCACCAAGTTTAGCTATTCTTGCTTACCTCAACACTGGGGGAAAAAGCAATCTGCCGAACATTATTTACTTAGCCACTACTGGATGTCACTGGCACTCTTACTACACCACACGTCCCTGTTAGGTTAGACATTTTCATTGTGACTTACGGAAAAGAGGCTGTTTGACCCTGCTGTTTCACTACTAGCACTTCAACTTCTCAGCCTTTCTTCATTTCACTTTCAGTAAATTAAACCTTCTTCTCAATTTACACTTCAGATTTGAAAGGGCCTGAAAGGGAAGATTGAATTCTTGTTTACTTCAAGAGAGAATAAGAAAAGTACCATTTAGACTAGGGATTTTAATCATGTCTACATTTATTTAATTCAGGAAGTGGTGCTGTGGCTCAAGTGGTAGAGCGCTCGCCTTGAGCTGAAGAGCGCAGGGACAGCGCCCAAACCCAGAGTTCAAGCCCCACGACCGACCAAAAAACAAAACAAAACATTTAATTCATTTCACCATGGCTATTACCTTAGCTCTGACTTGTCTCATGGTGTTATCTTCAACTATTATTTTGAGTTTTGTTACTTGTTTTCACTGTGTAGGTGTTATTTTCCCCCTTTATGTTAATTTGTCCAATAAGAATATATATCCATGTGACATTTAATTCTTTAAACGGCTCAGAAGACATATTTTTTAACCATGTGTGTGAACTTTCAATGTATGACAACTAGATTGTGTTCCCATTCATTTTAAGACACCCAGAATTGGAAACACAACCCCCCCCCCCCCCCCCCCCCCCCCGCCATCTCCTCAGGTCATTGGCAGCTTACATTCTAGCTACTTGGGATTGGGTATTGGGAGGATCACAGTTTGAGGCTAGCTTAGGCCAAAAAAGTTCAAAAGACCACATCTCAACAGGAAAAAAAAAGCTGGTGTGGCGGTACATGCATGTCATCCCAACCATCGCAGGAAGTTTAAAATAAGATTTTGGTCCAGGCTGACCTGGGCACAACGCAAACCCTATCAGAAATAACCCAAGGAAAAAAGGCTGCAGGCCTGGTTCAAGTGGTAGCATGTCTGAAGCACTGAGTTCACACCTCAGTATTTACGCACCCCCCCCCCCCCCAAAAAAAGACAAGTAAAACTATAATCAATTCCTTATATGACCAGACAATTCAGATGTTTTCTGTATCATCCCTTGATTGTGTTAAACATCTTCAAAGTACCTTAAAACTAATATCTAGCTAGTTTAGGGACTGAATCAGCCCTGTGAGGCTGTTTCACATGGTAACCAGTGCAATTAGAACGTTCTTAGTCCCACACTTTGGGATTATCAAGATTTGTATGCATGAATGTAATTTTTCTCATTACTGTTTTCATAGTTTTAAAATACGGTGAAGATCAAAATTTTAGGAGTGTACCTTTTTGAGTCAACATCTCAAAAAGTGCAATGACAGAAAATGTTTTGCCAGGTGCTGGTGGGTCACACCTGTAATTCTAGCTACTCAAGAGGCTGAGATCTGAGGATCGTGGTTCAGAGATAGCCTGGGCAGAAAAGTCCGTGAGACTCTTATCTCTAATTAAGCACCAGAATACTTGAAGTGGGCATTGTGGCTCAAAGTGGTAGAGTACTAGCCTTGAGCATAAAAGCTAAGGAACAGAGCCCAGGCCCTGAGTTCAAGCCTCACTACCAACAACAACAACAACAAAGGTGCTAGGGCTGGCTGGGAAGATGGCTCAGTGGTAGAGCGCCAGCCTTGAGCTGAAGAGCTAAGGGACAGCGCCCAGGCCCAGAGTTCAGGCCACACGACCAACCAAAAAAAAAAGTTGTAATAATAGAAAGCCAGTTCCTTTATAAGCTTTTCCAATTGTCAGTATTTTTTCACATTTGACTTGTATGTTCTACTCTTATATATTACATTTGTTAATGTGAAAAAAGTATTTAAAATGCTCATGTTAGCATTTGTACTACCCCAGAATAGCACACAGCATTTAATAGGTCTTTTATATCTCTTTTAATAGGGAATGCTTTCTTAGCCTTTGTGTTTGATGACATATTGTTAAAGAGGACAGATTAATGCTTAACTTCTTCTGACGTTTGTAATATTTAGCTTCTGATTATGGATTCTTGGCAGGAAACATAAATAATATCATATCCAGATGTACATGATAGGGTGAATATGATCAGAATACATTGTATACATGTATAATTAATCCAAAGAATCTCAGGGTTTTAATTCAATAGAAATCTGGTGCCAGCTGGGCACCGGTGGCTCATACCTGTCATCCTAGCTACTCAGGAGGCTGAGATCTGAGGATCATGGTTCAAAGCCAGCCAGGGCAGCAAAGTCTGTGAGACTCTTATCTCCAATGAACCACTTAGAAAACTGGAAGTGGCGCTGTGACTCAGGTGGTAGAGCGCTCACCTTGAGCTGAAAAGCTGAGGGACAGCACCCAGGCCTGGAGTTCCAAGTCCCATGAGAAAGGCAGAAAGAGAGAGAGAGAGAGAAATCTGGTGCCATTGTCCTCCCCAGTCCTTCAAGGAGTCAAGCAATCCTAGCACATCAGTGTTCCTGCTGGCAAAAGAGGAGAGGACAGAGAAGGTACTCAGCTTCTTCATTTCCTCAGAAATGTGCTCTACAGGTGAGATTTGCTCTCAGGCAGGACACTCCCTCATAGAAACCAGGAGGCAAACAGTAGGGTAGAAAGAACTTAAATCACACTTCCCTGCTGTTTGTTTGTAGATCCTCCTGTTATCCTAGCCACCTAGGAGGCTGAGATCTGAGGACCTATTTCCAGTTAAACTCAAAAAACCAGAAGTGGAGCTTTGGGTCAAGTGGTAGAGCTCTAGCCTTGAGCAAAAAAGTTCAGGGACAGTGCCCAGGCCCAGAGTTCAAACCCCAGGACTATTCCCTTCTCCCCCAGAAAGGCAATATGTGAAACATCAAAATGGGACTTTTGTATTTCAAATAGCAAGGTGAGGGTCATGGTGATCCTTTTATACCAAAAAGAACACAAAATGTATTGAAGTTAAAAAGTGCACATTTTCAGTTATCTGAGGTGGCGTGTCTTCAGTGGAAGGTGGGTGGGATAGTGTGGGAAAAATGAATCAAGCGTCATGGTCCAGTTCAAAAGCGTGAGCTAAGGTCTACTATTTTGGGTGGATCAATATTAATGTGTACAACAGTAATTTTTGTGACAGTAATGGTGCCTATTCTTGTGGTTTCAGGTTATCAGTGCTAGGCCTACTATGATATGGTATAGTATAGGTAAATTTGAGTAATTTCAGAGCACTGAAGTCTGCAGCATCATGAGCATTCGAGGCTTTTCCTCAATGATAGTCTCCTCTGAACATACACCCGCAGAGCCCAAGGCTCTACTGCTGTGTACCAGGCCGAGGTCTAGGTCCCTTCATGGTCATTGACAGCCGATAATGTTTCACTTGTCTTGGTTCTGCGTTTTGATACCATCTCATTAGTGTTTCATCAAAAGCAGTACCACCCATTCCTCTTCACTCTTAGGACTTATCTTCAGTGCCCAAGCAGGCACACTGGAGATACCTTTGTTTAAATGACTTGAAATACAGTAATTTTAAATCTAGCAAGGATTTTATTTGTTGATTTATCTTTTAATTTTATATATTTCCACTTCTTTGGTTTTTGTCATGAGGGGAATAATAGAAATAAATTTAACATCTGAAATAATGGAATATAACATCAGGTGTGTTTATTGTGCTAAAGGTATACTGTATATTCGATACTCTTTTATTTTGTGATTCTTGACATTTATCTTTTCATTAGTCTCCCTAGAAAATAACAACCATGGTTTGGGAATGTGGCTCAGTGGTAGAGTGCTTGCCTAGCGTGCATGAAGCCAATTCCATGCATGAAGTTCAATTCCTCAGCACCATATAAACAAAAAATGTTGGAAGTGGCGCTGTGGCTCAAGTGGTAGAGTGCTAGCCTTGTGCAAAAGCTCAGGGACAGTACCTAGGCCCTGAGTTTAAGCCCCAGGACTAGCAAAAATGAAAAAAAGAAAAAAGAAAGAAAATAACAACCAAAGTCTTGAACTAAATGTTTCACAAAACAGAAGGACTTTAGATACAAGTTTAAAAAATTAGAAAGACAAATAAAAAACAAAAGAAGCTGTGCACTAGTGGCTCATGCCTGTAGTCCTAGCTACTCAGAAGGCTGATGTCTTGATTCATGATTCAAAGCCAGCCTGAGCAGGCAAATCCATGAGACTCTTGAACCAGCAAAAAGCCAGAAGTGGAGGTATGGTTCAAGTAATAGTACCAGATGGAATGAGAAAGCTTATGAAGAGCACAAGTCTGAGAATTCAAGTTTCAGTATGGACACACACACACACACACACACACACACACACACAAGAAAGAGAAAAAAGAAAATTGTGTTAGGGTTCTGCTCATACAGAATCACCACATGTGACATGTGATAATAGGAATTTATTAATTAAAATGCTGAGCCACAGTAACTATCTGTAACTCCTAGATACAGTCACTTTGGATACAGTTTGGTGACCTGTAGTAAAAGTTAACACTACTGGGATCCTGGAGCAGTTGTTTGTCAGTGTAGTCAGGGGACTCAGGAGTTTTAGTGGAGGTACAGAGGTCAAATCTATTTTTATAAGAAGTTACTGTTGCATTCTGTCACAGCTGTACAGTACTTGTGTCCTAACAGAATGTCATACTTATCCACAAAGACTACTAAAGGTACTTTTTTCCCCAGTGATTTCTGTGAGATTGAAATTCTTTTCATATTCTTCATTCAAAACTGTGTTGTAGCAAGCCAGGCATCACTGGTTCAGGCGTGTCATCCTAGCTACTCAGGAGACTGAGATCTGATGATCGCAGTTCAGAGGCAGACAGTCCAGGCAGGGAAAGTCCATGAGATTCATCTCCAATTAAAGCACCACTCTTCCCCCACACCTAGCCCCCCAAAAAAGAAAGGTGGAAATGGTGCAGTGGCTCAAGTTGTAGAGTGCTAGTCTTGAGCAAAAAAAAAAGCTCAGGGACAGCACCCAGGCCCTGAGATCAAGACCCAGGTCCAGCACCACAAAAACTACATATAGCAGGATGAAGGCTCAGATAGGAAAATGCAGTTGGTCTTTACTAATATATATTAAAGAAATTTGCAAAAAATAAAACTATTACTTCACTTTTTGTTCTAATATTTCATTTTTCATAAAAATGGGTTAATATGTTGTCATCAATGTATTCATTCATATCTTATAAACATTTTGTAAACACTTCTTTATTTTTTGGGGGGGAAGGGGGGAGTCCGGTCGTGGGGCCTGAACTCTGGGCCTGGGCGCTGTCCCTCAGCTCTTCAGCTCAAGGCTAGCGCTCTACCACTTGAGTCACAGCGCTACTTCCGGCTTTTTTCTTTTTGCTTATGTGGTGCTGAGGAATCGAACCCAGGGCCTCAGGCATGCAAGGCAAGCACTCTACCACTGAGCCACCTTCCCAGCCCCTTGTTTTTTTTTTAACTTTGGTCAGTCGTGGGGCCTGAACTTTGGGCCTGGGTCTGAGCTCTTCAGCTCAAGGCAAGCACTCTACCACTTGCTGTGCTGGGATTATCAATCATTTGCTAGCGAGTGCTCTACCACTTGAGTCACACCCCAGCCCTTTTAATTCACTTGTTTTTCAGATAGTTTCTCTCATTTTTGTCCAGGGCTAGTCTCAGATTCCAGTCCTCCTATATATGCCTTCCCATATACCACCATACCTAGCCTTGTTTTTTTCTGTAATATTGTACTAATATGGTATGTTTAAGCCACATAAACAGAACTCTTTGGGGATGGCGAAGATGGAACTTACTGCTAAAGCACTCACCTAGCATACATAAGGACCTCTGTCCTTATGTCTTTGAGGTCCTTAATATTGTTTTGGTCTTGGGTTTGTTCATTTGTTTTCAACTAGGAATTGCACTCCAAGCATATTAAATAAGTGTTGTACTACTGAACTGCAGCCCCAGTCCGTACAGTGTCAAGAGGTCCTGAGAACTAAAGAGTGACCCTCTGCCCTAGATCAGTGCGCATGTGGCATACCAACAGATGATTCCAAGATTGCATAGCACTTACCCAGAGTCCCTGAAACTCAAAATAGTGTGCATCAGTAGGAGCATATTCTGCATATTTGACAGGATGATTTTAAAAACTACAGGTACAAGCTCCATGTATAACCTCTTAGAATCAAATGGGAAAAAAACAGACTTACCTACCTATGGCATGATTTCATTTATGTGATATTCTCAACTAGTGACAGTAAACTTCAGTGGTCCAGATTTAGGTAGTTAAATAGGTTGACTACTGGATAGGCATAGTAGCTCACACCTTGTAATTCTAACTTGCCAGACAAAAGTTAGTGAGGCCACCTCTCAAGAAAAAAAGCGTAGTGGTCACGGCTTTTAATCCCAGCTCCTCAGGTGCACATCAATAAGAGAATCACAGTCTAAGACTAGCCCTAGACAAAAATACAGGATCTGATCTGAAAACCAGCTGTAGCAAAAAAGAAAAGAAAAAGAGCACTTGCTCAGCAGGTGTAAAGCCTTCAGTTCAGACTCCTGCACTACCAAAAATACATCGATTAATGCATAAGTCAAAATAGCTGTGAGCCCTAGGAAAAGAAAGAGATACCAGGATAAGATGCTGTTAATATTCTCTTTCTTGACCTCGATGGTGGTTGTAGTGGTATTTCTGCTTTATGTTAATTCATTAAGCTTTATAAATACAATTTAAAATATATAGTGTAAATTGGTCACTTTATACTTTCCAATACATATTTATATATTAAAATACTTTACAACAAAATGACTAGAATATTTGTTTTAATGCAAATAATCTCACTGCTTTTCTTTAAAACAAACAAAACAACTTTATACAACGCTGGGAGTAATCCTAGCTACTGTGGAGGTTGAGATCATGAGGATCATAGCCTAGGCAAAAAGTTTCTGGAGATTACTCCTTCCCCAATCTTAACCCATACAAAGCTGTGCGTGTTAGTGCATAGCTATCACCCCAGCTATGAAGGAAGCATAAATAGGAGGAATTAGTCCAGACTGACTGAGACAAATATCAGTACTACTAAATAACGAAGTTAAAAAAGCCCAAAGGTGATAGAGTGCCTGCCTAGCAAGTAGAAGGCCCTAAGTTCAAACCCCAGTAATAATACCCAGTAGATAAATAGTACATTTTTGTTTGAAGGCATAGTATTATTTATTTGAGTCCATATTATCAAGATATGGTCTGTTTTTGGTCTCTAAATTCTATTGGTTGGTTTATTTTTTTTAGTCAAATATTTTATCCATTCTCATTAATAATATATAAACTGGATTTGGAACCTCATTATAAAAGAAAAGCCAGTAAAATAATTATTCTAGTACTGTGCAAACATAAACTGTCTCATTTGTTTCAATTTTTTATTAAATTTTTTTTTCCATTTGATACAGATAGTCGTACAGGCACTGCAATGTTCCCATTACTCGATTCTTTGGCAGTTGGTGAAAATTACTGATGGTTCTCCTTCCAAAGTAAGTAAGAGTTTCTGGAGGCAGAAGAGTTATTATTAAAATAACCTTTTCTTAACCATGTATTATCAGTTATATAAATTAATTATAATCTTTATAAAATATATGGTAGTTTATTGTTACCAGTTCTTGCTTTGCCTTATGAGTATGTTTATTTCTTTTGAAAGATAGGCAATCTTCACACACACACACACACACACACACACACACACACACACAATTAAAATACAAGAAATACAGATCTGTAGGTGAAATGCTGTAAGAAAGATAAACAGTGCAGCCTAATTTCCATTGAGAACCTTTACTAATTTAGAAAGCATCCCAGACCCTTTCAAAAGATGGAACAACTAATGGGTGATTACATGACAAAATTGAAGTCCTGAAGAATCTTAGCCCAACTGTACAGTAAATAGAAATAAACATACCCCTGGCTTCATTCATGAGATGGAGGTTAAAGGAAAGCCTGCCTTAAAATTCATCATTGAACTGGGTACCCATGGCTCACACCTGTAATCCTAACTACTCAAGAGATCTGAGGATTGCAGTTTGAAGCCAGCCCAGGCAGGAGAGGTCTGTGAGGCTCTCCGTTCCAGTTAACCACAAAAAGCTGGAAGTGGAGCTGTGGCTCAAGTGCTAGAGAGCTAGCTTGCTCTGGGGTTAGGCCTCAGGACTGATGCATGCACACATGAAAAATGTCATTGATTAAGGATGTGTGTGTGTGAATGTATGTCTTTGGATTTTAATCCAAATTCCATTTCAGGCCAGGCACTGGTGGTTCACACCTGACATCCTACTACTCAGTAGGATGAGATCTGAGGATCATGCTTCAAAGCCAGCTAGGGGAGGAAAATTCATGAGACTCTTTATCTCCAATGAACTACCAGAAAACCGGAAGTGGTGCTGTGGCTCAAGTGGTAGAGCACTAGCCTTGAGCTGAAGAGCTGAGGGACAGCGCCCAGGCCCTGAGTTCAAGCCCCATGACCAAAAAAAAAAAAAAAAAAAAATTCAAGCTAAAATTTTTAAATGTTCTGTAATAATTGTGTCCCCAAGTACCTAACAGAATTAAGTCGAAATCTCTTCTGAAACATCATGCTTTAAAGAATTTTCAGGAAATACTATTTTAAGAAATGTGAGCTCCTAGTAAAAATTTTAGAAAACATTTAACTCACTGGGTGCCAGTGTCTCATGCCTGTCATCCTAGCTACTCAGGAGACTGAGATCTGAGGATCTAGGTTTAAAGTCAGCCCGGGCAGGCAAGTCCATGAGACTCTTTTGTCAATAAACCACCTAAAGACTGGAAGTGACGCTGTGGCTCAAGTGATAGAGCACTAGCCTTGAGCTGAGGGACAGCGCCCAGGCCCAGAGTTCAAGTCCCACCACCAACAAAACAAAAAATTCAACTCAAAAAAAGAAACCATGAAGAAAATGACAACACATTGGACTTATCTAACACAGATCTAAAACAGGTGCTGCTGTTGTTCCATGAATTAAAAAAAAGCAACCTTAAAAGATTGGGATGTTTTCATATACTTCATTTTATCACACTATGAGGGCACTAAAGATAAATTTAATGCTTCCATTTAAAACCAGTATTTTAATGCAGATCATTCTTTTCTCAGAGAAAGGTTTTTTCCTTTCTGATGAATAATTTGAGATCTCCTTGAATTTGGAATGTAGTTCAATTTGTTTGTTTACTTGCTTGTTTTTCATTTGAAAGTTGGCAATATATTGTAAAACCTTGGCTTTTTCTATTTTAATTGGCAATTTCAGTCCTTAAAAGAAAATTTTAAATTTAACCTTTTGTCAGGAACAAAAGCCAATTTAAAGAGGTCACATTTTAACATTTTTGAAAGGTGTTGGGAAATATTTGGCCTGATTTGTTTTTTTTTAATATGTGCCAGCCTATATACCAGTACTGGTGCTTGATATACTGCACCTTACCCTTTTGCTCAGCTTACTTGCTCACGGTTGGTACTCTGTCACTTTGGTCTGGCTTATTTTTGGTTAATTGGCGATAGAACCTTATGGACTTTTTTCAGTCCAGACTAGCTTCAAAACTCCATCCTCGAGATCTCAGCCTCTTGAGTAGCTAGGCATGAACCACTACCACAAGAATCTCTATTCTTAAACTGGGTACCAGTAGCTCATGCCTGCAATCCTAGCTACTCAGGAGGCTAGGAGCTGAGGTTCCTGGTTTAAAGCTGACCAGGCAGATAAATCCAGAAGACTTTTATCTCAAATTAACAACCAAAAAGCTGGACATGGCTCAAATGGTGGAGTGCTAGCCTTGAATGAACAAGCCAAGGAAGAGTACAAGGCCATGAGTTCAAGCCTTGACACAAAAAACACATAAAGAATCTCTGCTCTTAAATACATTTTAAGCATTTTCTATTTTAAGATTCCTGCCTTTCTGCTTTATTTTTGTCAGAAGCCAGAGTGCTTCATGCTGGTTTGGCAGTATGTGTTCCTGACCAGCACGCATTTCCTTTATGCCAGAGAGAACACTGATGCCACTTGTAGATGCTTTGTTATTCTGTTGATTTTCATTTGTAGTTTTGTGTGCATTTTAGTGCATATAAAACACTCTTTAATTAACTTCTCACCTTGAAGTTGTTAGTAGCGTTTTTTTAAGTCTAAAGAACCTTGAGTCATTATTGTGTATCAGTTATGTCCAGTAGTAAAAAGATGGTGCTGTGAGTCATAACCTTGAAAAGCTTGATTCCTCACAACATAAGAACTCTTAGATTTAATCTTTCATTTGCCAAGATTGGTCCTTTTTAAATGGTTATTGGCATATAATAACTTCTTGACCAGTAATTGCTAAATATTCTGCTACCTTGTGTAGGTATAGAATACCTCTGAGGAATTTAAGAGCCATGTACATTTTTTTATATGAATGTAGTCTATATTATTAGTCTCCTGCTTGATAAAGAGACTTTCTGTCTCTCCAAGCCATATCATTAACTTATATAACCTTAAGGCATGTCATTAAAATAATTTCAGAGCATATCATTTACGTGAAAGCATTTTATGAATTTAAAGTGCTTTCTAGGTATTAGTAACAACTAAAAAAAAGGCATTTATTAGTAGGTGCTAGTAGCACATAGCTCTTAGGGATCAAGGTTTGAAATCAGCCCAGGCAGACAAATCATGGAAATCCTCTAATGCTGCGCACAAGCCATCATTAGAGACAGTTAAAGTGACGGAGCGCCATTCATGATTGAGAGTGCCCCTAGTCAAGCCCCGGTTCTGGCTTTAAAAAACATGGATTTATTTGTGTCTTATTGGTTGATTTATTTGTCTCTTATTGATAGAATTAAAAGCTGTGTTAAGGCAAACTTTTCTAGCTGTTAAACTCTATGCTGACCAAAAACTGAGATACTAAACATATCTACACAGATACACGAGATCTGATATTTTCCTCTAGAAAATGGAATTGCATGAAAGATTATTGTTGATACTTAGCATAATTTTATCACAAAGAAATTACTTTTAAAACTGCTAGGAGAGGGGCTGGGAAGGTGGCTCAGTGGTAGAGTGCTTGCCTTGCATGCATGAGGCCCTGGGTTCAATTCCTCAGCAGCACATAAGCAAAAAGAAAAAAGCCGGAAGTGGCGCTGTGGCTCAAGTGGTAGAGCGCTAGCCTTGAGCTGAAGAGCTGAGGGATAGCGCCCAGGCCCAGAGTTCAGGCCCCATGACCGGACCCCAAAAAAAAAAAAAAAATACCTGCTAGGACAGTTCTCATAATAATGCCAGCACGGATGGTAGAGCAGTGCTTCAGTGGTTCAGTCTTGGGTTCGCTCTGGCAATGTTACGTTGTGCTATCCTATTAGAATTGTAGAGGAATTTGAAAATGAAGCCTAGGAGAGAGATTGTTACTGTTATCTTATTGATGTTTCTGTATCTTGTAAGCCATATGAACATAATTGTTCTCATGAAATGTTCTTAATGCATCCGTAAAGGGGACGTAATTGCAGTCCCATGTGACAGACGTGGAGCCTGAGCCTCATGTAGATTGGGAGTTAGCACATCCCATCCACTCTCAGTCTAGTCCTTTCTACTAGTGCTGTCTTTACTCTTGGTTAAAGCTTCTAATACACTTAGTTCTGGCCAGATTAGTTGTAGTTTTGTTTTTAATAAACTTTCATGCACTAGTTAACTCATTCAAGACCACAAATTGGTAAAGTCATCAGTCATTTTACAAAGCCGGGTTTCTGTACACCCCACTGCATGCAGATGGAAAGTGCTGGGATCTTAAACACCCCGCTGTCCTGCCCACTGAGAGCCTCAGTACTGATGAACATAGAACTAGGTCCCTTCTTTTCCCTCTTTATAATATTTCCCTAAAATTTAAATGCAGTGTAGTAGATACTGGAATATTGATAAACGTTAAATATACTTAACATTTTTAATGTTGGGCCACTTGGAGGGAAACTAAAAGTTAATGTATTAAGCAATTTTTTGTTGTTGTTGACAACATATTAAGATGGAATGGATACTCAGGAGGCTGAGATCTGAGGATTGCGGTTCAAAGCCAGCCCGGGCAGCAGAGACCGTGAGACTCCTATCTCCAATAAACCACCAGAAAACTGGAAATGGCGCTGTAGCTCAAGTGGTAGAGAGCTTGCCTTGAGCTGAAGAGCTGAGGGACAGCGCCCAGGCCCAGAGTTCAAGCCCCAAGACTGACCAAAAAAAAAAAAGATGGAATGGATCCTTTAGCAGCAAGTAAGCTAGCTGACTACCATCTGTTTGTTTCTCATTTACAAAACCCAGGTAAATCTCTGAAGAGGACATAGTATTTTTAGCTAATGAATTCAGCCTATTAATTGAGTGTAAATAGAAAGTAGGATTGTTTGCATACAACAAAGCCCCCAAGGTTTACTACCTGTGGATAACCCTTGTTAATGTTTTGCTGTGGTTTAGATTTATGATATTTTGAGATCATATATTTATGGTCTGTGCCTTCTTTTTAGTTAATACAATAGTTTATTAATATTATGTTA